CCGACCCCGATCCCGGGGCGTCATTGGTTGGGTGGACCTCCCATATGCGTGTGTGTCTGTATGTCTGATGTGTGTCGGTTGATGTGTCTGGTGGTGATGTGTGTGGTGGTGTGTATTTGACGATAATAAGCGGGAGAAGGTGGCGGATGGCACAGGTAGGCGGTTGGGTGCCATGCAAACTGATGAAAGCACACGCGCAACCCGAAAGATGTGACCTGGAAGGACTTCCTCACCAAAGATCAGAAGCGCTCTCTGTGCGCTGTGCTAACCCTGATGGACACGCCGCCCACCGATCCGCAGCGGTATGTCCGGGGATTGGTGGAAAGAGCAATTGGCAGCTGGAAGGGGAGGTAAAAGGGGGAAGGGGAGAGGGGAGTCGTGGCTTTCGTGAGAGAGTGGCTACCGGCCTCCAGGGATGGGCCTACCCTACCAGGACGACATGATCTCAGCAGGAGCCAGCGGTCCACGAAAAGCTGGCAGCGTGGGGGTTTACCACTGCGGTTATCGTATCGTCCAACGGTGGTCAAGTAGGGAATGTCGGCTAGCTACTGTAGATTGACTTTTACCCCAAAGCTGATTGTGGCTGGCGTTGCGCGTCTCTTCCAACGGTTGGCTCGAACGGACGGACGGCTTGTGCAGCCGGCACTATTGTACCCCGCTACCTCCTTCCTCACCCAAATCACACTTTCTGCTAACTCAAAGAGCTCACTGCCCGGTTTTCCCATGTAATGGGTATGGGGAATCGCAAGAGGTGAGATAGATGACCCTTGATGCAATAGCGAGGCGTTTTTAAGTCGCCAGCCTTCAACAGGTCGGTTGAGGAGGAAGGGGGGGCTGGTTAATGTTTAAAGCAGCGACGAAGCCGTTGCTGGGAATGTCGCGTGCGATGTGCGTATTGAATGAGGAATTATCGGCAACCGGTCGCCCCCAAGATGTGTTCTTCTCCTCTACCTACTTAGCATTTCGGTCTTTCTGTTCAATAGCCCGGCACCCACACCTGCTCCATGTATCGGGTGCCTAGCAGCGGCGAGCTCAGTCAAAGCGATAGATAGTCCATACCATGCATGCTTATTAACATCAGGCCACATTCTGTCGCATACATTCTGTCTTTCATCCTTCAGCTAATTAATACTTCCTTGCAGATAAGCAAGCTTTCTTTTAACTCGCTTCCGTCATCCGATCCCCCACCCGACGACTGCAGACAAGGATACCGCCAAGAACTAACGTACTCTTCCATCGTACGCCACGCCGTACTGGCCGGGATGGCCAGCGAGAGAGACGCATTAGGATTTGAATCATCTGGGATCTGGCTCCCGGCACCGTATGGGTTATGACCATGGGCGCTTCCTATCACATTCCATCCAATCCAACCACCTGCCAAAACTGCTCCTCGAAGAACCACTTCCCAGCTATAGGCAGCAGCCGCGGCGCTGCCGCCCATACCCAGGCAACAAACACTGCTGAATCAGAGCGCACTTTCCTCCTTCCTTCCACCACAACACGACGTGTATATAACACAGATATCTGTTGCACTGGCGTACTTCGTTTTTTTATTGACCGAGACAGCGGTGCGCCCTCTTGACTGTTAGAGCCTAGGCTCAGCCACCGCATGGCCTGTGTCGTTATGTCGGTTAAGGGGGTCGGCTTGCCCAGCGTTACGGTCCAGCGTTACGCGCCGCTTACGCGCAAACGTGAGCCAGTAAGGGGGGTTGGTCATGGGTTCGTCGTCATGGACGCCGTCTGGCAGGTCACCCTTCAAGGCATCTTATAATACGGGTGGCAAATCCAACCGAAGTGCCGTGTGCAACGGTGCATACTTCTTGAACTACCTTGGGCTGTGCACTTGGCAGAGGAGGGCAGCCCCATGCCTTGTACGGTATATCCCTTCGTACGGTTCAACGAGTGTTATTACGGGGTTGTTCTTGCGTGGGGGGGGGGAGGCGCATCCAGAACGGCACAGGAGACATACATTGAAAGAGCGGCGCAGCAGCAGCAGCAGTAGCAGTAGCAAGGCACAAAAAGTCCCTAAGACATGCTATAGACAATAAATACACGCGGTCGGGTGAGAGAACAAAAAACCGGTCTATGTATTCCCGGGCTCCTATCGGGTTTTGTGGCGCCAGGAAAACCCTCCACATCAGCCACTAGCCTGCCGGGTGGGCGAACGTTGGTTTAAAGCCACCCGGGCTGATGGGGGTTACCGGAACACCACGCGATCACAGCCGCACCGTGTAACGCCGCCGCCGCAGCAGCAGCAGCTGGGCAGTAGCAACAGCGGCAGCAGCAGATGCGATACTATTCTAGGATGGCAACACGAGAGCACCTAGAGCGTCCCGGGGTACGGGCCCGGGGTACGGTGCGGTCGGGCTTCAAGGACACGAAATTCAAGCAAGACACCACAGCAAGCTGCTAAATTTCCAGCTAAACCGTCTCCCGCAAGGAGTATGCGCACACTTCGCAAATCGACCGACGCCCCGGAAAATGTGCATGAGCGCGCCGCCACAGAGCGTCCCGCCCCCCGCCAACAAGCACACAAGATGGTTGAAAGGTTTTATCAGTTTGTGCGCTCTCCCCCGAATCCCAACTGTCGTTTTTTTCACGGCGAAGACAAAAACTATTACAAAACAGACAACACCACTGAAACGCCGTTCTCACCAACCATTAAAAGTGCGCGAAGCGAACCGCTACAGGAATTTAGGCGCGGTGTCCGGTGGCCGTACCCCACCGACTCCACGCCGTACACCTTCCTTTCCTAGGACCGGGACCGTGCAGGGCCCTCGGGGACCTACACAACCATGTTACGACACCGCCAATATCATCTTAAAAGGGTGATATGCAGTAGGCAACGGAACAAAAGGTCCAACAACAGGTACATGCTGTGGAGTGGCGTACCGAAGATTTCTTGGGGACCCAAGAGGGCAACAAGGGTCCCCTCCATTTTGTCACACGTCTCTTGCGGACCCCAGTGTCGCAGGGGCAGGGCGGCGCGCGCCGACGAGCGCCGTGATTTTTGTTGAGCCAAAGATAATAGGGTTTCGAGAATTACGATACGCAGGAGGGGGAGCGGCCCTTGTTCTATATCTCTCTCTCTCTTTCTTTCTTTCCGGGTTTCTCACATTCATATGCCGCTGCAAGCGCCCACTATCCCGCACATGCGCGCACATGCGCCGCGACGATGAAGCCGACCCGCGCTGTGATTCGCGGGGGGGGGGGGGTCCCCGGGAGGACGGCTTGCGACGCATTACTGTGCTAACAGCTAAAAACAAACGCAACCAAACACATCTACTACAACAGCAAATCGAAAGGGCGAAAAGGGCGCCGCGGCAGAGCGGGATGATACTCGACACGCCCCCCACACGGTAAAAAACTTCAAACGCAGCAGTGTAGTGTGGTTTTCCTACTGACTTGAGTGAAGCTCTTGCACCGTCCTGCACCACCAAGAACGCACTGTTAGCAGCCCGAATCAGTCCCATGACCCCCTTTTTCCTCACTCTATAGCACCCAACCCCTCCCGATGCCCTGCGATGAACAACATAATCCTGCGACTTGCAGATGCGTCCCTTTCGTCAAGTTGACTTGGGCAACAGAAGGTCTCCCTCTTCCTCTCCCAAGACGCCGCAGCCATCGGAAGCCCCTGGCCACCTGAAGAGTCCTCACAAGGGAGATAAGGCCCCGCGGCGAGAGGGCTCGGGCTGCACCGTTTCCGGTAACAACAAACAACTTAATCACGCTTAGCACGTCACGTGTCATGTGAGGGGGGAATGCAAGAGACGCACTCCGTACGACGCGCAAAACACACACGCACACGCACATACACACACAGGCAACATGCGACATGCCCCCCAAGACCCCGGCAACATGAGGACTGTGGCCCGTGTTCTACGCAGGTTAGTCACATGAGTCACCCGTCGATGCCTTTCACCCGTTTCACCACGTTTACTAGGCCAACTCCCTTCCCATGTGGCACATCCTTACAGACAGCGCTTTAGGGCCCTTCACATCCTTTTGACATTCATTCAACCCCACGAACCGGGGGCCAGGAGGGAGGACTTAGGGTTTGTTAACGATCCCTCGCACACGCACGTCGTCCAGGAGCACCAGGCGTCCCACACAACGAACGCCATCAGGGCAGCCATCAGGGGGAAGGATGGGTCATCAATTTCAATTTCCACTTCCACTTCCAACACCAACCGCCCTACCTCTCGGGCACCTTCGAGGGATCACCCGCGACACGATTACACAGGATCGCAGTGTTCACGTTTTTGGAAGCTTCATTGACCATAAGACCGGGACAGCGGACTCAACTCGCGCCTCAGCGACTGTGGCTGCGACGGCTCCGCGCATCTGCCGGTCTGCGTGAAGTGCATCTTTGGCTGTACATGTGTGTCCTGCACATGACCCCGCCCACCGCCGCGCACCACCAACTCAGTCAGGAAAGGTGAAAGCAATCCGGTCTTTCAAACAATCGTTGGTGGACGTGGCTAGCGGACACGGCTTCATAACCAAAACAAAGGCTAAGCCAAGCCTTGCATCGGGTTTGCACGTCCCCACTAGTAATAATCCTCAATGACACATACATACATACACGCAGATATACATACAGATAACACACCGGCAGCATCAAAAAAGATCCGTTTCCAGCCAACCCCCTCGGCAGGCTCTCCTATCGCACCGTGTGAGACTCCGTTCATAAAAAAAACAGCAACGCAGGAAAACCGCATCCACTTCAACCCTCCGTACGATGCAATACACGCCGCGGGGCCCCCTCAAACAAAAAAACACCGACACGTTGCGGCGATGCAGACTACAGAGCGAAGGTGCAGCAAGTGGCAAAAACACCGAAACAAGCAGAAGCGGGGCGAGACGGATAAACTCCTTGGGGCGATGCATGTCCAACCGTGGCCACATGTCGTACCTCACGCCGCTGCCACAGCGCAGGCATTTCGTCACACGAGCGGTTCCCCACAATCGGCGGTTTTCCCTTGAAAATCCCTGCTAGACTACTCGGAGGACCTCGCCGTCCGTCCGCTAGAGCTGCCGCGCCCCTGGGCTGGCCCCGTGGCAGGACGGGGCTTCTGCTGGCTGAACGACAACAGCGCCCTTGCCACGTCGCAAATGGACAGATCCGCGGCCACGGCTTCATCATCGACGTGAAGCCCCTGTTTCTGGTCTTCAGACTTGATTTGTTGCTGCTGCTGCTGCTGCCGCTGTTGCTGCTTCTGTTCAGGCCGTCGCCGCCGATGTTGCTGGTGCTCCTGGTGTTCTTCTGCTTCCTGCTTGTTGTTCGGCTTCACCTGCTGTTGCTGCCGCTGCTGCGGCAGCTCCGGGTGCTGTTGCTGCTGCTGCGGCTCATCATCTTCCACATCGTCGACATCCTCTCGTGGCTGCCTCTGAGGACGGCGGCGCGGGGGCTTCCGGTCCAAAGCGCCGCCGCCCTCGGCTAATCCTCCTCCTCCTCCTCCTCCGTGCAATGCCGCTACGTCCCAACGGCGCTCCGCAGCACTCCCAGGCATGCTGACTCTGTCGGCAGCAGCTCCCAAGCCCCGAGGTCCAGCCCCGCGCAAGGCCCCTAGGGCAGCAGCCCCGGGCGCGGCTCCGAAACCACTCGCTGCGGCGGCAAAACCATTCACCATGCCGCCGCCGACGTTGCCGTCCGCAGCCCAGGCTGCCTGCAGCGCAAAGTCATGCTGATCAAGCGGGTTGCCGTACAGATTCCCAATGGGGTTGCCTCTGATACCCCCGAAGAAGGGCAATGGGGGCCACGCTACCGGGCCGCTTGGCAGGCCTTGGGCATGCGGATTGTCGAGGCCGCCCGCCAGCCGCGACACGCTGCCGCCGCCGCCATCCTTCAGCCTCTGCCCTCCCCATGGGGCATCTGCGTCTTCAGAGGGTTCGGCTCTGCGCTTTGCACCGGTGCGCCTGCGGGCTTCGGCGCCGTGCGGCGGCACTACTGCCGGCGCAGGCCGCCCTTGGAGCTTGCCATCGGCGGAGGGAGCCTCGTCCGAGGCTCTCAGGTCGACCGCGGTCAATGTATCGGCACTCGAAGGACCTACGGTGGCATTGATGTGGAACACCAAAGGGAAGGGAGGCAAACCCAAATCCAAAGATACTAAATTTTAGAGAACGCTGCACGCACTCTTTAGCGCAGAAAGTGGGAAGCAAACTTAGAGCAAGCCAAGCCTAGAAATTTCGATTTTTTTGCAAAAAAAGGTTCCTCCCGCGCCCTCCCTCCGCCCACACTCCTACATTTTGCGGAGTTGGCGGCGCCTCCGCACACACGCCCGCTTGCCTTCCCCCCAGGACGCCTTTTTTTCCCCAAAACTCCTCGACGCGTGCGCACACGTTCACCTCGGCTTTGCGAGTCCCCGCTTGTTCGCATGGTCCTCCCGTATGGAAATCCCCACGTTCCCCACGCTCGCATCAACTTGCGAGATGCCTTCACAAATACACGCGTGTCAAACGGCTCCCCCTAGACCTCGCTGGTTTCGGAAACACACACGCGACGCAGCCGACTTTCCCTTCCAACACATGCCCACAAGAAAGGAGCCAAGGAAACCATTTCCAAAAACCAGCTGCCTTAACACTACCACCACCACCGCACAACCAGCGCACCAACACCCGCGCACCCGTCGCAACGCCTGGATCTTCCGCTTCCATGCTGTCCTGAGGTGCTGCTCCTCCCCAGGGCCCCAATCCTGCGGGGTGCAGCCCAGCCATCCGTCCAGCCACCGCCGCTGCCTCCGCCGCGGCAGCCCGCGTCGCCGCCGCGGCCGCATGCGCACCCAATAGGCGCTCAACGGCCCCGTTGCCGCCGCCTCCCAGGAGAGCACCCATCTGCTCCAGGGAGGGAGGCAGGTACTGCGGCGGAACCATGGCATAGGGATCGAACCCGGGTACGGCAGCGGAGGCGGCCAGGGCTGCCATGACGGCGGGCCCCAGGCAGGTGATCGCGCCGCCGGGGGCCGGCATCGGCGGAAGCGGCGCTCCACGATCACCGAAATAGTCCTCACAGGAAGTTGTGGAGGCGGCAGCTGCAGCTGCGGCGGAGGACCCCTGCGCAGGCGCGTAAGCACGCCGACCAGTTGCCTGGGGGCCCCGGCGGTGCGCAAGTGGAGAGCAACACATCAGAGGTGTCAAAATACGTGTGCCGAACAATTTTGTGACACAGGTCGTGCGGTCAGGACATCGTTTGAATTTATGCAAGGACATGTAGGCATTTTCTATATGCACATATTTGAGGCACGAAGGCACTGGATACCTAGGCAGTGCCGACGGCTTCCCTGTTCCGGGAGGCCAGCGCAATGCGCAAACAATCGACCGACAAGTGGGGGCGTATTGGGCCTCTTGGCCCTTCCAGGCCTCCCTAAGCAAGCGCAACATGGCTTAGTTACCGGGGAAGATGATATGGCCCAAGGCAAAGTATAAAGCAAATGCGCGGCAAAGCGCGGAGGACGCTCTTGCTCCGGAACTTTACAGATCACAAGGCTCGGGATAGGCGGAACAAATACAAACCAGTCCTTACGTTGTGCGCCGCGCTGCCGCGCGGTGCATCACGTTGTACGCCGCGGGAGCCCCCGCTGCGCGCCTCCGTGAATCGCCATCCGCTGCTGGCGCCGCTGGTGTCGCCAGCGACCCCCCCCAAGGCTGCAGCTGCTGCCGCCCCGCCGCCCTGCTGCATTTGTAGGGCAAAATAATGGCGCATCAGCGCAAGGCGATGCACCTCGTCAGCCTCCAGGCTTGCCTGCGCCTGGGCCAAAGCCATTGCCTGCATCTGTGCCTGCGCCAGCGCTTGCGCCAGGCCTGCAGGCCGCCTCGGCGACATCCATGCCCCGGAGCCAGCAGCAGCAGCAGCAGCAGCGTCCTGCAGGCCGCCCAGCTGCCCACGCTCCATAGCGGATTGAAACATTAGCAAGGTCTGCAGCCGCGCCAGCTCTTCCGCACCAGCACCGACGCCGGCTCCGCTCAGATCAAGCCCCATGCCCTCGTCCATGGCCATTCGCGGTTCACCTCCCCCCCCTGCTCCCACAAAACGGCGTCGAGCCTCTCCTCCCTCCCCTGCCTCGCCCCGGGCGGAAGGCGTGCTGCCGCTGGTTGCCCGGCCACCGGTCCGCTCCTGCCATGATCGCTCCTGCTGCTGCAGCTGCTGTTGTCGCTGTTGCTGCTGCCGCAGCATTAAGTGCTGTAGGGAAACGCCGTGTGGCTCCAGAGCTGCGGCGGCCGCAGTGGCAAAATCCAACGCAGCGTCGTCGACGCAGCGAGCAGCAGCAGGGTCCAGGAGGCCCCGCCCCGGGCCTCCTTGCGGCCAGTGGAGTCCCAGGCGCTGAGCACGCAGCTGTTCTGCCGGGGAGCCGGGGACTGCGGCACCGGCACCATTGTTGTCCATCATCTTTGCGTCAGGTCGACGCGCCCGTGGCGGCAGCTCGCAGCCGGCTGCTGCACGGCTGCGCTGCGGTGGCGGCGGCAGCGCACTGAGGCCCAGGGCTCCTTGGGGGCTGCCCTCCTGCCCGCCGAGATCGTGGGCCCCGCCTTTCTGCGCTCGGGAGCTGAGGCGTAGCGCCGGGTTGTGAAGTGGTGATGTAGGGTCGGAAGTCAGGCTGGCGGCATCGGCGCCCTCCGAGGAACCTGCCAGTGTGTATCGGTGGGCGTGCGAATGGGCGACAAACGAGTGATTAGGACAGATGGCAAGGCGGGAAATGAATGGTTAGATGAACGTTCGCGTTGAGGAGAGCTACGGCCATAATATACAGGACAGAGTTGATAAGTCGCGTAGGGCGAGAAAGTGTTCAGGAGTATCAGAAGGAGAGGAAATGTTGGGCAAAAGAGGAATCTGTGCGCACTCGTGGGTGAGTGGGCAGGGGCCCCTGCAGGCGACGCGCTGCTTCGCCACGTGCGCCGGCAGCGGAGGGGAGGGGATAACTGCCGTTACCTGTGGGACATGGCTTCGGGAGAGCCTTCTTGGCAAGGTATGTCGCCTCGGCGCTGTCGGCAAATTGCGGCTCCTGGTGCGGAGAACCGTCTCCAGCCGGCTCTTCTTCGTCCTGGTCGGAACTCGGCAACGGCCGTGCCCTGCCATGGCCGACCATATCTGACATGCAGGCATCAGTTCCTGCATCTTCGTTGCTCTTGGTCAACTTGACTGCAGAGCGAAACGCCTCCAACCTCGCCGCAGTGCTATCACCGCGCTCTTGCACCTCGCGCGCATACGCGCGCAGCAGCGAACGCGATTTGAGTTTCTTCGAACGCAACGTACTGTGCCAAATGTTCTGCAGGCAGGGCGATAGAGTTCACGGTGACGAACAAAACCGTCAGGTTTTTCCCCACTTCAGAACACCTTGGAGGGATGCGCCAACTTCGCAAAGCTGGACTCGCTCAAAAAATGGATAGTATACAGCAAAGATGAAATGCTTTACGTATGTCGCCTCCCAAGACTGCACACTGGCAAAGCGCTGATGATGCCTTAAGAAAATGGAGGCGGCTCAACAAATTGCGAATAGTCTCAACACCACTTCCTATGTTACGGTACACAATTCGTAAAGGCTCTCTGGCGAAATCAGGAAGTGGCAACTGACCTTGACCTCTGAGGCGCTCCGCCCAGGCAAATGCTCCGCAATTGCGGACCAGGAATTGCCTCGTATAGAATGCTGCCGCGCTAAGATTGCCTCCTCCAGCCGGCTCCAAACTGGCCGTCGCCTGCGCCTTCGTTGTAAATTTCCTCCTTCACAGGTGCCACGGCCGGCCCCTGAGCCCCGACCAACAGCTGGCCCATCAGAGTAATCACTACTCTCTCCTGGCGCAGAGCAAGCTTCCTGGGGCTCCCAACGTCCGTCCTCTTGACCCAAGCCCACCTGCTCCCCAAATTCTTCGCCCATGGTATGGCAGCTTAGCACAGGACGAACGGTGCTATATAATCAGGTTCAAGTGGCGCCAGGAAAGTTGGCACAATTCAAGCACGATTTCCGTGATCCTTATGATATGCAGTAACCCATGGTTCAAAATTAGAAAACCGGCTACTATTCCACACTGATGCTTTAGGGTATCGAAGCTTGTACACCCCAATGAAACCACATGGTTTCTAACTGACCGCGTACTGCACCTTGCCGTAACAGGTCACGGTGCTCACCAGCCAGCCCTTTTTTATTTTACATCTCCATGTACCCGTATTACTGTTAGATGTACTTTTCTGTAGCCTCCAAGCATCAGATTAGCAACAAGTGTCTGCGGACGTACATGACTTCGGGCTACTCCTGCTAAAGCTCTAAAATCCACACGCTGTGAGCTTTAACTAAATCCCTTTAATATTGGGCATTTCAAACCGGTCATGAAGGTCGTCCTAATGCGGCGTGTGTAAGTTTCTCCGGGCTGCACATGACTGAAGCGAAATGTTGTATGCTGCCGAAGCGCAGCACCTGTACCTTATGACTAATCTGCAAGTTGCGTCATGGGACGATCCGGCTCGTTCGCCTGACTGAGACGTTACTTGCCCTAGAGCGTACGAGGCAAAGCAGGGATTTCCATGAATTCCAATTTTGGAAAAGAAAAAGATGAATGCTTCGGGTACAACCAATTTCATGCGGCAGGGTTTTTCCTCCAAGGGTGTCCCCTGCCATTCGCCATACATGCAGAGGCGAAACTGCTAGCTGGCTCTAGCTCAAAGTGTATAAAACCCTCCAGTTCTACGTGGCTCGGGCAAAGGCGTTCAGCAAAGCTTGGCGGAGGGCAGAGAGATAAACCTATATCGTGCCGTGCACAATTTGCGCTAAGTAGTGCGTAGAAGTTTTGAGACAGGAAAATCCGCATACAGGCCGCGCCCAGGCAAATCCCAATCCTTGTCACTTCAAAGAGCACGGACCCGTAACAATGAACAACTAGGATTTGGACTTTGATGCCGAAAGATACAGGGCACTTGATGTCTCACATACCGTTTATCACTGTATGGGTGTCTCAAACGCGAGCATTTGCTGGTATTAGTAGAAGTTGAGGACCTGGCAAGGATTCATCTTGCCCCTGAACATCACATGGGGTGGCTGTCACAGGCTGTCCACGGCCGTTCTCAAGGAAAGCACGTTAGCTAGGTCTTACAACCGTGCATATACACGCGTGAAGTCCGATCCTGTAGCACTTGAACCTTCAGCCATAATTGCCGGAATTGCTCCTGACGAGGTTCCTATTTCAAAAACTGCATCAGCAACAGAAACGCTCCGGCCATCAGTGCGTATCATGCAAACCTCCTTCTTGGACTTCCTGCGCAACTAAACTGCACCACACAATTCTTATGTCACATTACGATGTCACATTGCGATGCCCTTATCCTTATTGGCAGCAAGGCCATCCTACCCGCTAGTACCTGCAAAGCGCAACTCAGCCTCACCACTGCCAAGCGCATGGCTTTCCCATTTACCCCCACACCCTCAGCCTTATCACTACCCCCAAACACACCAAACGCAGTGATTGGTGCCGTAACGTTCCACAATCAGTTCTGTAAACGTCAGCTATACACATCGAAACGCGAAGGCGTAGGGCGATCAGGTCCAGTGCATTGGGTGTTGTTATCCACTGCGCGATGCCCAACACACCGCGTGCCCCCATCTGCGTTATGTGCCCAGGACACCCAAACCTGCAGCAGCCCCGCCGCAGCACGCCTGCCACTCGCCCAACCAGCCTGCACAATAGCCACATAGTCACAAACACCACCATCGAGAGCGCTACCCTTTCAGCGGCGGACGGGCACCGGCGGCAATGGTGTCCCGCCTCAAACTCACACCCTCAGCTTCCCACGATAAGCGCTGGTCAGGCATCGCCACGAACACCGCCAACAACTCGCGCTAGCACACTATGTCCACGATCTTCCCCCTTGCAAAATGCTGGTACGGTAACGGCATACTAGCCCAGCTTTGAAATGCATGTTGGCCGTCATGACCGTTCGAGAAGCCCCAGATGCAATTCCAAAAGGCCATGGTAGAACGTACCGGTTCACCAACTGCGATCCATATCCCAACCCCTGCCCCCAGCACTCAAGGCTACCGCGTGCCTCATGCGTAGTTTACACTGGACTCGTACGTGGGAACCATGTACTTGATGTTGATGAACGCGTCGTCTCCACCTTTTTGCTCGAAGAGCGCGAGTGTATCGGCAATGAGCTCCCCCAGGCAATCGTAGTTCTTCTGGCCATAGTCAATGCCATCGCCCAGGTTCTTGTTCTTATTCTTGTACAGGTTAAATATTGGCAGGATCTGCAATGAGCACATGCGCGTTTAAGCAAAGAATATTCGAACAAAAGCATTTCCGCGTTGCAGCATTACACCACGTCATGTTTCTTGCATGAAACCTGGCTGGCTAAATGCCCGGCATTAAAATCACGTACAGCCGAGGCATCATGTGCTCCTTCCGGATTCAGCAACTGACCCCCCAACGCGCGCGCGCGCGCGTGTGTGTGTGTGTGTGTGTGTGTGTGTGTGTGTGTGCGTGTGTGTGTGTGTGTGTGTGTGTGTGTGTGTGTGTGTGTGAGTAATGCCAGATTGCGGCAGTATGTAGGCTCCAAAGTCAAGCTTCAACGCCATCCCTTCCACCCAAGGCCACGTGCTGAGACCTACCTGCCGATAGTAAGGCACGAGAGCTTCGCCAACCAGGTCCGCCGACAACACGAGCTTCTGTAAGAGCTGTAGCGTAATGCACATGACGCTGTGGTCGCGGGTGTTCAGCGCCGTTTTAATCGGGATGATCAGCTGTGGAATGACCGGCAAGATTTTGGACCCGCCGACCCGCAACATATCCTCCACGCCCTTGACCGCAAGGAATCGATAGGGTTCTTGCGTTTCCCGAATGCCGTCAAAAAAGATAGGTAGGTAGTGATGGTAGTCGAGCTTCTCAATGTCTACCTGCGGTGTCGACGGTTGCATAGGTGCCGGGGGGGCCACCTCAGGACGGTTGCGCAGTTGCCGGGGCAGGAGCCTAAAGGACACACCGTATATGCACGGTAAATGGCTTTCCCAACAGATTTTCCCCGATTAAATAGTTGATGCTCGTCTTGCGGTGCAGAATTACAGGGGGCTTCCTTTCCCACGGTACAAGTTGCCCTCCCTGGGTTGCAGGCACAAGCGTACGGGGGGGGACAGGTAACGCCCGCTATCCAATGCTGAAGGACGGTTAAAGTGGCCCATTCTTCCATCGATTCATGGACAAACGTTACTTGCTGTTATCTTATTAACTCTTACGTAAAACTACGTATATGCGCTTTACCTTCCAAGCAATCATGTTTTTAGACCCGCGGTGGTCAACCGCGATGGGCAGATCTCCACGCTCATAGAATCGCCGGAACGCCGTGTTGGGGGGGTTTTCCCGGCGTTTGTATGCCCCAGCTGAAGGTGGAAGCGGTTTAACTTCCTCCACCTGCCCTGTCCTCGTCTTGATGAGCTCGCCATCGCCCTTCTTGAGAAAGCCGCTTGGATTCGGCTTCGCAGCTGGGTACCTACATAAGCAAAATGCACTGTTGCTATGCACACATTTACAAAGCCAAGGACGCGGCCGCCACGCACTTGTATGAAAGGGTCGGCTTCGACCAGACGGGCAGCTCCTCCTTGCCAACTTCGAGCATCTTATGAGCTCCTGCTCGTGCTGGTGAAAGTGATGTTGTATCGAAGCACTGCAGAGGAAGAGCATTCGTGAACTTGGAATAAGGCAGGCTCCAAAAAAGGCCCTTTAGCAATTAGAGCTGAACCCACCGAGCCCGTTCCATTCAAGTTTGTCGCTGGCGGAGCTTTGCCGGCGAGCTTCACGTTCCGATAGGTCGAGGTGAAGAGACTACCGGCCACGTCTGGCAGTCCGTTCATGGTGACAAATAGTGATTCGCACTGGGTTTAGGTAAATATGTAATAAGCTATGAAAGGCCAGCTCAAGGCGCGAAACAAAAGGAAATGGAAATTACAAGCGGAGCTGCGTTGCAGGAGTTCAAGTTCGGTAAATTAAGCGTCAGTCCAAAGAAATATGCATACTCGCACTACAGGCAACAAATGCTACTGTAAGGCTTCATGTTTAAGCTCTAACGGCGCTCCTTATAATTACGGCATAGTGTCGTACTCGTTGCATCTTGTGGGCGGAAAAAGGCCGCAAACCTAGTTGGAAACAAAAACTCTACCTGGAACAAATAAAATTTGACAAGGGTTCCTATGCAGAATGTTGCAGTCGCACACAGTTGTATTTGTACCTATGGTAGACGTGCACGGTTACTTCCTCAAAGTACGTATGTCAGCTTGCATTCTGCGTGCATTTTGCTTATTATGGCTAGGGATTACCGAAACTGCGCCCTGCAACTGGTTTACAGTCGCACAGCCTGTCCTAAAGTTACCACGATCACCCTCTAAACTACGGCCTTCCATTGTTGCGTTTTGTAGTGGGCTCGGTCACATGAGTCGGGATTCTTGGATCGCTCTTTAAAGCTCAATAAAGTTGACCGAGTTTGGGGGAGCTGGTGCGCGGCAGTGCATAGGGCACGGCTGCGCTTGCACACACAGGTGTCCAGAGTTGTGTAGCAGTCTTCCTGGCATGCCCCTCCAGGCTTGCAAACGTTCTGATGCAGACCAAGGGCACGTTCACATGTGCACACCTTAGCGATTGGAGCTTGGTGACCTTTTGCGGATCACGCAGCGCCATGGTGATCAAGTATCGCAAATTGTACGCCAGCGTGCTGGGGTTCGCATACTAAGTTGTGCGTATGGGCTGGTGGTAGAAGCTACGTGGAGCCCGAACGGCTCGTGTGCACCGCCTTAACGTGCTCCAACAGCACAACGCTGCATGAGGGAGCCGTGAAAGGGGTCATCGAGGATAAACGATTCGATGCCGTCAAACCACCGACTAAACACTTCACTGAATGTAGCAGGCGCCTCCAGGGAAGCACCGAAGTCTCACACAACACGACTCAGGGCTGCTTCGTTATGCTCAAACGTGAAATTTTGGCAGCTTTGTCGTGGGCTGGTTGCCAAAACAAAAAATACCTATCCAATTACAAGCCTTGCCCCGAGGCGAAAACAGTTGAGGCGATGGCCTTGAACATGGCCTGCAGCAAAGCACCCTGCAAAGGATCTTGAGGTGACTCTTCTGGTGGATGCATTTGGAATCGGACTGCTCAATTGTAACTGACCCAAGGGACCGAATACCATCAGTGCGTCCACCATCAAGGCGTAAGAAAGACAATGATCTTTAGGACACAAGGAGTGGAGAAGTGCGCATGTTGCAGCCATGGTAAGTGACCATTAGGATCATAAATGTTTTTTACGAATCAAGACGTAAGGAGCGAAGTTATCGATTTCGCTTGCATACAGCAATTACGTTATTCAATCATAATGAACAATGCAATGTTTTACGATGACTTTTAATGGTTCATTGTTTGGCAAACCATATGGTACCCTAGCTGATACTTTTGTGACCTGAGCCCGATACCTGGGATGCTATTTTGTTGTTTCCAAAGTAGAAATACAGCTGAGGGCTCTCAGGATGCAGTCCCGGCTAAGTTATCGGAGGTGCAACGCGAGGGAGCGGCTGCTGGAAATGGTGCAACGGGAGCCACCAGTCCTTCACACGCGCATGCACAAAGCATTGAAACTACAGCGGCAGGTGCTGGCGAAGAACGACAGGCGACAGCCATCGGGACCTCACAGCAGGTTAAATCGCTGCACGTTTCTCAGGACGCCGTTATGAGAGTAGTAGCTCTACTTCAAGAGTTGCTAGGCTTGACATCTGAGAGAATGCAGGCAAGCTTGGCGTGCGTGCTTTGGTTGCTTTGGCTGCCGTATTGTCAGGTTACGCTCACGCGAAAGCGGCAGTGAGCGAAAGTTTCTGGTTTCGTTGGACTCATATGTTGCGAGATAAATGCTTGGGTGATTTGGGGGAGCTCTGTCGCTGGTCCTTTCCGGCAAACACACTTTGCGTTGGCAGCTTCCCGGACCCACACGGGATCGTAAGTGAGGCTTGCCCCATCGGCTGTGCGCAACGCCCTCCATTACATGCTCTCTCTCTAGCGAGGGCCCTATGAGACGCAACCGGCTCTCCTGCGTCTGCAACACAGCGCCTGTCTCTGGTCAGCGCCTCTCACCCGCGTCACCCATCTTATCCGCGTCAGTGCTGCCTGCCGCCGCCGCACCACGATCCCGTGCGATAGTCAGTCTCGGGGCGGTGCTACCGACCTGCAGCCTAGCCTCCCGGCCCCCCTTATCTTTCTTGCCTCAGCACTCTTTCCTTGGCGGCAGCTTCACTCGCTCGTGGATCGTCTCGTACCCCCTTATCTTTACTTACCCCCCCGGGTCTCCTGCATATCTTCCCTTCCCTCCGCGGCGGCCTCTTCCTCCCTTGTCTCCGACCCACAGCCTAGCCGGATTATGGCGCTGCTGTGCCAGCGACTGTCCGTGTCGTGGGCGTGTCTCACGGCGCTATCGGCGGATGGGGAGGTCTTCCAGCACATCGGTGAGTGGCTGGCGGTACCCGGTTCGATCCCCCTGGGTCGCTGAGTTCAGGCGGAGTTACCGCGCGTACCGGCGCGCCACATGTCTACATGCCTGCTGACCCAGATGGTGTCAGGCACCACACGACTGCATGACCCAGATGGGCCGAGGCAGGACAGGGGTTAGATAGCGGGTTATTGGTTTCCCGTCGGGATTCCATGACGGGGACGCAGGACACTTGCCGCGGGCGGTAGCGGTAGCGGTAGCACTGCCGCCGCTCGGCGCAGTAAGCAACCCACATGCCGGGAAGAAGCGGCAGCGGTGTGCTGACGGCGGCTGGGCTTCGAGCCCTCGAGGGGCGGCAGCAACCCGTTTTACTCGGAATAAGTCCAGCCCTATTGGGGCACGCCATTCCGGAAGCCAGAAGCCGGATCCAGTTAGCTGAACTAGTAAATCAGTTGCCCGGGGGAACCTGCGTACGGTGGGAACTGCCCGGGGGCCAGGACTGCGTGCCATCCCAAGCAAAAAGCCCCTTCGCGCCTGCCCCCCTCGCCCTAGCTAGCTGTGAATGCGTCCTACCTCTCTACCTTCCCCCGACATCGCTGCGTATATGTGCACCGCCCCTTAATACCATACACACATACATGCATATGTACACGTGGGCCGCCCGCCTACGCCTTTCTTTGCGCCGGAGGAAGGAGGACGAGGAGGAGGAGCAGGAGGAGGAGAGGAAAAGGCTTTTGCTCGTGTTCACTTTGTGTCGCTCGGTTCCGTAGCATCTTTTGTGCACAGAGCAGGGCGATGGGCCAGAGAATAACCCACGTCCTGTCCGCATACTGCGTTGCTCCTCCTCTTAATCGCCAGATACCGGTGTCTGTCCGCCAAAGCCATAGAACTGCGGGTGGTGTCGACACTCCGGAATTTTAGATAAACGCGCACCCTCCCCATTCCCATGCCGTCTGGTTCCTACTGTGCTGAACACGTGCATTGCGTGTGGGTCTGTTACATATTCATCCGGGCCTGGCGCTGGCCACGGGCACCTAACCGTACCCCGTTGGAACGTCCGCCGAAGCATTCCGGCAGTGTATGGTGAGAGCTCCCCCTCCAGCCGCCCAGCGCACTGAAGCAACCCAGTGTCTCATCTCAGCCTTCGACACCCCGATCAGTTTCACACCTGGGAGGGAGGGAATCAGCGGTGGGACCCGAACCCATATCTTCCGATAAAGCTAGACGCCGCCTCTGGGATTCGAACTCCAGTCTTGCCAATTTCTAGCCCGGTGCTCTACCAACTTGAGCTGCGTCGGTGTATATGTGTGTGTGTGTGTGTGTCTTGCGACAGGCTCGGCATATTTCGTGGAGAACAAAGTCGGAACTAGTTCTTTTTCATCCTGCCGTACGAATAGTGGTATACCACAGGGATCTGGGCCTGGTCGAGGGCCGCCCTCGCGAACGAGCTCCACGAATAGCATCGCCGGGGCGTCGGCGGTGGAGGTGCGTTGGGGGTGTGGGTTGCTGTGAGTATTGACCGTGAATAGACTTTCAGGTTTAGGTACCCCCTGGGTTGCGGTCTGTGCTGGGAAATGAAGGATTCGGAGTGTGTACGGGAGTACGGGAATGCAAAGGATTGGTTGTCCTTGTGTTTGCGCGCGTGAAGCCCATCCTCGCTTAGCCGTGGTTAAGGAGGATCACGATCTATGGGAATCCCTAAAGCGGTCCTTTTGCACACGATGGTTACCCCAATAGTGGAACTTTTGGTCTCTGGATTTGATTTGAACTTGGGCGCCTGTCGTGCTTATGTTCCTGAAAATAGATTCAAATACGGAGGGCCAACATATAATTGTAGGGGTTTTCTCTGGGCTCGATGACAGCTGGCAGGGGCCCGTGTTTCTTGCCTGTCATTGGTCGTTCTGCTGTTGCAATACCCAATCCCAATCCCAAGCCGACTGCTGGCCATCCCTCCCAACCTCTTAAACCCCTATCGATGCTGCTTCCACGGCACAGGTGGGCATGTCCGATCCGCATCGCCTCCGCGGCTCCGGAACCAGCATCGAGGCGGCAGCCTGCTCCAACCAACCGCTCATGCTCAGCGATCCTGGGCCCGCCGCCGCCGCCGCTGCCGCCACTGCCTCCGCATCAACGGGCCCAATCTCAGGCGGCACAACCACCGCGACGGCGGCGGCGCCGCCGCCGTTGGCCTCTAGTGCCGCCGCCGCTCATGCCTCCGGTCTTTTGTCCGGCGGTCACCCCCAACAGCAGCTGCACCCACAACATCACCATCAACAGCAACAGCGATTTCAGCCGTGCTATCCTAGCTCTGGAGCAGGCCCCGATGTGCCTCAGCCAGCCCCCCACGTGCTTCCACATCCACCACATAACCCTTCGCAGCCACAGCAGCCACAGCAGCAGCAGCAGCCACAGCAGCCACAGCAGCAATCTCAGGAGGACCGGTTGACTGGGGAGGTGCCCGTGTCCTCCTGGCCGATTGACTGGCAGCTCATGTATCGCGAACGCGGCATGCGGGCCTTTGCCTGCATGCCAGTCACTGCAACGAATGGCTCCGGAACCGTCATCGGCTGCCTCAGCTTGGGAAATACCGAGCCCCTGGACTGGTCGCGGCAGTTCTGGGCAAGCTCCACGCGACTGATCACCGGTTGGGCGGCGGGTGCGATTACCACCACACGCGCTACCGCGCGTGCGACCTTCTTTTCGCGGGTTTTCGGTGCGACCAACCTTGACGGCCTCGCGCGCGCGTTTGCGTACGACATGCCGATATTTCTGGCCGACGGCGCCGCCGGTCCTGGTACGGCACTGCCAGAGGTCCGGCTGGCGCTGGTGTCGTCGCGGCTGCAGCACGCGGTCGTGTATGCGGCGCCGTTGCTGCAAGTCTCAGGACGGCTGGGCCTACGACCCATAGGTCATTTGGGGCTTGGCGGCGGTGGCGGGAACGGGACTCACGGAAACGGGGCACTCAGCGGCGGCGGCGGTGGCGGTCCTTTCGTTGCCTTCGGCGGCTCGGGACCTAGCGGTTCCGGAGCGTCTATGGCGGGTCTCGTCATTGGCTCTGTTAACAGCATCGGGGCGGATCGGGGGGTGCTGCCCGGGGCAGGTCTAGGCCTAGCGCCAACGGCGCACCCGGCGGCGGCGGCGACGATTGCGGCGCGCACCAGCAGCACGGCGACTGGGTACGACACCATGGATTGCATGGTCCTCGGCACGACGTTGGATGCGGAAGAGCAGATGAGCAGCAGTAGCAACAGCAACGGCGGAGGCGGGTCGTCCGCACGGCGCGACGGCGGCAAGGTGCCGTCATTGGTGCTAGGGGCCGCGGACGGCCATGGCGGCAAGGCGGGGGTGGCGGCGGCGGCAGTGCAGGAGGCGCCCCCCGTGGAGTGTGTCAAAATCAGCACCGACAGCACCTTGCTGATGAGCGTGTTGGAGGTAAGCGGCTTTTTGAGGTGTTTTGACTTGCTACTTGCTAAATCGGCCGATGTGACCTGTGTCTGGCACACACACCCACACCCACACACACTCTCACACACACTCTCACCCTAAGTTGCCTAGCTCTGGGTACTGTGCTGTGAATTCTACCCCACCCTACCCTACCCTATCCTACCCTACCCCGCTCGTCCTGGCGTTGCCACCTTTGCCCCACCTTTACAAGCTTTGGAGACCCCCCCGCAACGTGCTCTCTGTACACCAAGTCCTCGAACTCCTGTGGATTTTCTTGTTTTTCCTGGTTTCCTACATTTCCTCTCGTTTCCCTTTTTTTCATTTTCCCTCTCCGAGGCCGTATTGATCGTTACGACCTCTAGCTTGTGTGCCTTGATGTCCTTAACTTGTGTTTGTGTGTGTATGTATGTACGTACGTATCTATGTCCAGGCCGGGGACATCATGATTATCAAGGACGCGCTGCAGTACTTCGGCGGCGGCCGCATGGTGGCTCGCGACCTGGCGCTCAACAACACCCGTCCCGCCACCGCCGGGACGCTGGTGATCCTGCCGCTGGTGCATCGATGCAGATCGCTGGGCTGCGTGTACGTCTTTGCGAGGTGGGGGACGACGTCGTGGCAGTGCGCTAGAACGGCACGGCACGGCGCGGCACAGCGCTAGAACGGCATGGCACGGCGCGGCACAGCGCTAGAACGGCATGGCACGGCGCGGCACAGCGCTAGAACGGCATGGCACGGCGCGGCACGGCACGGGTTTGGGGAGGGGGAGGGGGAGAGAATTGGTCGGCGGCGATGCTAGGTATCAGCGAAAAGGCAAGCAAGCAAGAAGATTTGGGGCGAATGTTTACTCTGGATCGCTCCCCAGGACGCGGAACTTCCGCCATGGTGCGTCAGAGTTAATCCTTGTGTAATCCGCCCCCGGCGCCTGCATTCGCTGGCATCTGTTACACCAATCCAGCGTCTTGAACACCCGAAAATCGTTAATCGTGAAATATTCATCCTTGGCCCTTGGCCCTAAATCCTGTCCCCCCCGCCCTTGCTGCCCGTAATCCGGATTACCGGGTGAATGTATAAAGGAACGAGTTCAACCTCACCTTCAGTCGCGCGGCCTGGGGGGATCTGTCCGCCATGACGTCGAGAGCCGTTTTCGGGCAGCTGGTCGGCAAGCTGCGACACGAGTGGTACGCGGTGCTGTCTGAGGACCCGGAGCCCCAGGCGCCGCAGTTCCGCAGCGCCCACGTCGGCAGCGGCGCCCGCGGCCGCGTGCGTCGTACAACTACCGCCAACAGCTTCTGCTCGAACGCCTCTTCACTCCGACCCTCCTTTGAGCTCCCCAACAAAAGTCTGGAACAGGCCACAGGGACGGGTGCCGCCGGCGGCGGCGGCAACAAAGAAGCAGCGGCGGCGCTGGCGGCAGCGGCGGCGGTGCTCGAGTACGCTGGCTTCATGCTGCCTGACGGCGACGACGGACCCGCGACGGCGGCGCTGACGGTGCTGCCGACGGCGCCGACGTCGCGGAGCACCGGCGCTACGACAGTAGTGTCGTCGCCGCGCCACAGGATCCCGTCGGAACATGCGGGGGTGGGCAACCAGGGAGGCGGCGGCAGCGGCACCGGGTCATACGAGCCGCCGATTACGACAACCCCAGCGGAGGCTGACGCCGCCGCCGCGGCGGCCGCTACTGTCATTGCAATCCCGGCACCCTCACCCAGGCCCGGCGGCTCCGATCCGCCTAGTACAAGTCCAAGCAGCCTCAGCTTCCGCCTCCCCCCGGAGTTACAAGACCGTACGGGGCCCGAGGGCACGAAGCCGGAAGGCGGGGAGCCCGAGGCGAGCGTTGCTGGCGGAGCGGTTTCTCATCCTGCGAGCCAGACGGTGCGGGACTCCCCAGTCACAGAGCCCGGGAAGGACACGTCACCCCCTGCGGAGTCGACGGTGCCGTTGGCTCTGAAGCCGGTTTCGCTGGCGCCGGTGTCGCCTAGATCGCCCCGTGGCGGGCCGCAGACCGAGCTTGCGACCGCCGTCGCCGCCGCCGCCGCCGTCGGTGCTAATGATACAGTGGCGGATGGCGCCGGCGGCGGTTCCGCCACAGCCGCCGCCGTGGCGGCGGCGGCGGCGGCGGTGGCGGCAGAGCAGCTGGCCGGTATTACTGAGGCTGGCGACGTGGAGGCGGAGGACGGAGAGGAGGTCAGCGGCAGCAGCCGAGAGCTCCAGGTGGGGGTAATGAGGGTGTGGGGGTTGGGGTGGGGATGGGTGGTGCGGCCTGGGGTTGGGGGGAGGGACAGGGCGAGCGGGAGAGAGTATTTGGAAGTCATGCAGGTGATGCGGACGGTGCAGGAGTGAAGAAAGAGAGGCATCTTCCGACGCGCCGGGAGGACCTTTTTCCTGCCGAGGGGGGAAATCGCGAATGCAGAGAAAGATCCGCACCCCACCCCCTCATGACTCTTTTTCCAGCCAACCGCGGGCGATGGATGGTTGGGTTGGGACTCTGGAGACGGGACCGCGCTGCCTTTCACGGGGCAGCAAGTGGTGTGTGTGTTGTGGGGTTGTGGGGGTGTGGGGGTGTGTGGGGGGATGGGAAGTGATTGCTGTGGGGGGTTAAAAGATGATGGTAACTCCTGCCTAACCAGTCCGCCATGTACCATACGAACCAGACCGTCCCTTGAAACTGTCCTTCGTTACCGCTGCCATTCGGCTGGCGCAGGTATCCCCCAAGATTCCTGGTTATCCACACGCTATCAAATACACCCCACCCCACCCAACCCAACCCAACCCAACCGAACCCAACCCACGATTGCTGCCTTGACGGGTGCAGGGCTGGCCCGAGCTGGTGGACATCCTGTACGACATGCACCGTACACGTAATGTGTCCGTGTACTTGGCGGCGTACCGGGGTCAGGCAGTGGCTGTCAAGATGATGCGATCCCACATGTCCATGGACGGCCGTCCAGGTATGTGCGTGTGAGGGGGGAAAGAGCCTGGGAAGGAGGAGTAGGAGGTGCTATATAAACCGCTGCTTGCAGGAGCTCAAAACGCAGCGCCTGCGTTGTTTAGAGCAAAGTTCTATGAATGTATGTATGCATGTATGTATGTATATGCGGCTTGGTGTGTTGTTCTGTGTGTGTGTGTGCGCGCGGTTCAGGTCACCTGGACTCGGAGGCACTCACCATCGCGGCACAGCAGCAGCTCAGCACCGTACGGCACCCCAATGTACTGCGTGTCCTCATGGTTTACCCTCTCGTGTACGAGGTCGTGGCCGGCAAGCCCCAACGAAGTAATAACTCCTTCATTATGAATGGCGGCGGCGGCGCCGCCGCCGCCGCCACCGCTTCCTCGCAGCAGCAACACTTGCAGCACCCGCATCAGTGGCAGCTGCAACAGCAGCAGCTACTGCAGCTGCAGCAACACCCGCAGCAACTCGGCGTGGGGCTGGGGCCTCTGGGCGCCATGGTTCATGCTATGAGCGACCTGCTCTCCGGCGCCGGCGCCGCCGACGCGTCGGGCGGTGGGGTGTACCTGACTGCCGTACTGCCGAGACGGGAGAAATTCAAGCGTGGCCTGGCGCTCATGCTGGAACTCTTCCCGTCGCTCAGTCTTCGTGAAGCGTTGCAAAAGCGCATGCTCGTAGCGCAACCTGATGCCGTCGGCGGCGGCGGCGGCGGCTTGACCTTCGCTGAGCAGCTCTGCGGCGCGGCGTCGTACACGTGCGTCGGCAGTCAAACCGCGACGCTGAGCGATATCGGGCAGTTGGGAACACCAGCTGCACCGGGCCCGAACTCCGCCGGCGGCGGCGGCGGTGCTGCCGGCCATCCGGCGCCGTACCTGCCCTCGCTGCCAGAGGTCGCCTCCGGCAACGACCCGATTTTTCACGCGGACTCCTCGCCGGGCCTCGCATTGACGGGGGCGTCCAACAGCGGCGGTGCAAATGCTGGCGCGTTCGGCAGCGGCCCTGGCGGCGGCGTGCACGTCTGCAGCCAGGCGCCGTCCATGGCGGTGCTGCTCGCCATCTTGACCCAAATAGCTGCCGGCATGGCGGCGCTTCATTCCGCCGGCCTGGGGCATGGGGAGCTCCGGCCCGAGAATGTGCTGCTGGCGCTGCCGTACCATTGCGGCAGCAGCAGCCTCGCCACCTCGGGCCAGGAAGACCGTACGGCCGCCGCCACCGTCGACGGCGTCACCGCCAACATCACACCGCGCGCGTCACCGACGCCGCAGCGCACCGCCTCCGGCGGCGGCTGCAACGGCACGGTGTTTGGTAGTGGTGGTGTGAGTGGTGGCGTGAGTGGTGGTGGTGGTGGTGGCGGCGGCAGCCGCGGCCGCAGCACCAGTGGGTGGGTGTCGGGATCCAGCGGTGGTGGCGGTGGCGGTGGCGGCGGCGGCGGCGGCGATCTGGAACGATCGTCGAGGCCTGAGCGGCCCCATCCTGGGCGACCCATCACCACTGACGTGATTGTCAAGATCAAGGACGCCGGTGCGTGTGGGGGGAGGCCGCGTCCTGTGTAGGGCACTGGAGGACAGCAACTGAGCACCGTACAGCAGCGGCGGCAGCAGCAGCAGCAGCAGCTGCAACCCTATACTTGTTTTTGCTCCGGGTACTCTTTACCTGGGTTGGGGGTTGGATGGTCCTTTTTTGGGTTTTCACATATGCAAACTCCCTTGCCCCTCCCTCCTGCTGCCGTGCATACACAGGCATGACGTCGGTGGGCTTCTCAAAGGGCAGCCAGACGGTACGGAAGCTATTGCAGCGCAACCGCAGCGCCATACTGCCGATACTTGCCCCCCGAGATCCATCGCGAAGAACGGTTCGGCCGCAGCGCCGAGTGTACATGTTTGGCATCTTGATGTGAGCCGGGTGGTGGAGGGGTGTGTGTCCACGTTTTGTGTACGACGTTGATGTGGGTCTTTTTCGGGTGCTTTAGTTGCACCAGGCCAAGGTCTGTGTCTCTGTGTCTGTGTATTGGGGTTGAGGGGGAGGTAGGATGGGAGGTAGGGTGGGGGGCAGGGAACGGAGGTAGGGTGGGGGGCAGGGTAGGGGGCAGGGTTGGAGGTAGGGTTGGAGGTAGGATGGGAGGTAGGGTAGGGGGCAGGGCGGAGGTAGGGTGGGGGGCAGGGCAGGGTGGGAGGTAGGGTGGGAGGTAGGGTAGGGTGGGGGGGCAGGGAACGGAGGTAGGGTGGGGGGCAGGGTAGGGGGCAGGGTGGGAGGTAGGGTGGGAGGTAGGGTAGGGTGGGGGGGCAGGGAACGGAGGTAGGGTGGGGGGCAGGGTAGGGGGCAGGGTGGGAGGTAGGGTGGGAGGTAGGATGGGAGGTAGGGTGGGAGGTAGGGTAGGGTGGGGGGGCAGGGCGGAGGTAGGGTGGGGGGCAGGGTAGGGGGCAGGGTGGGAGGTAGGGTGGGAGGTAGGGTGGGAAGTTATGTGCTGCAAAAGTCAAGGACGCAAGGGACGACATCCGGGGCACTGACCAGATGCTGTAGAGTCCAGAGGTTGAGGGCGGGGCGGGGGTTCGCTGTGTGCCAGGGGCGCTGGCCGGTGTGTAGCGGTTATTTATGTTCCGTACGAGCAGACAAACCCCCCAACCCCCCCTCCACCCCCTCCCCTCTCCTCTCCCCTCCCCTCCTCATAACCTTAAAACCCTCATCACCACCACCACCACACGCAGGTGGGAGCTGTACACGGGCAGCGTGGCCTTCTCCAACCTGTCGGGCACCCCCATCAAGCTGCTTCAGACCATCATTGCGGACGGCGTTCGACCCCCCTGGCCCGAGGGGACCCCTTTGTGGTACCAGTCCCTCGCCAGCCGCTGCTGGTCCGGCAACCCCAAACAGCGCCCGTCGTTCCGCCGCATCGGGGACAAGCTGGTCGAGGCCAGCGCGTCGGCGTCGGCGGTAGCGGGCAGTAGTGCCGCTGCCGCTGCGGCGGTGGCGGTGGCGGGCTGGGGAGTTGGCGGCGGCGTGCTTCAGGGTGTCGCCGAGGGGCCCTGAGGTGCGAGGTGGACGCGGCGATACTATTTGCCAGCGACGGCGGCGGTGGCAGCCGATTCGACAAAGGAGGCTGGCTCCGCCGCCAGCCGGCCAGCCGGCCGTAAGGGCGGGAGGGAAGGGACTTCGGTGTGACGGACATCGACAGGCGGGTAGGGGGGGAGCTTGAGGAGGGGTGTCCTGTTTTTTTTTTGAGAGCCCTAGGCTGGCTGCTTGCGGATGGGGGTCGCGTGTCGCGACTGGTGGCGGCTCGGAGAGGTTGTGGAGGTGCATTGTCGGATGAGGAGTCGTTGGTGGGTTGGTGCCGGTCGGGGGCCGCCCGGATGTGGGAGGGGGGAGTGGCGTGAACGTGTTGGGCACGAGATGAGGAATAACGATAGATAGACAGCGGTTAGAGCGCCGGATGTATGTCGTTAGGTTGGGGGTCTAGCGGAGTCGAAGGGGCGAAGAGGTACCGAATTGCGATGTTGACCGAATGCGAATGCGCGTTGAGGCCTAGGAGGAGGAGGAGGAGGAGGGGGGAGAGGGAGGGGGAGGAGGAATCCGTATGGCTGGGCAGGTTCTTCGCATACTCCCGCCAGCAGGGCCATAGGCCTATCTCTCAGCCCAGCCCAGAGCAGGCGAGCTAGCTAGCCGGCGAACGAGCGGCTGGTCGCTCCTGGGCTCGCGCCTCGTGTGCGTTTGTGGGGGGGCCCCGCCGCACCGTTGCGTGTGAGCGGAACGTATGGATGAGGGTGAGGGTGGTAGGGTGAGGTTGTGGGGCTGGGCGAGGCGTTTTGGTGGGCGACGTCACACTGCCCCTGCTAGGGGAGATGGAAGAGAGGGATACGTTGCGGCGTGAGGTGGTGGTGGTGGTGTGTGTGTATGTGGCGCGCGCGCCTCAGTACTGATGCGCCGGTATGTTGGTATGCATGTGCATGTAATGTGTATTGCGACAGGGCGTATTGAACCAAGCGGTTTGGGTTTGTGTGGGTGCATGGTGCACTGACGTATGCGCGCTTGCGTGTACGTGTATGACTGTATGTGTGTACGTGTATGTGTATGTGTATGTATGTTTGTACGTATGTAATGATGTGTGATGGGGAACGGGGTTGACTGCAGTTTTTTCCTATTGGGTGTTGGTGCGCCTGCTACTGCCTTCATTGGCGGTGTTGACCTCGTCCAGCTGGCGTTCTTAGTTGTCCTTTCCATTGTTCGCTACTGCTACCAATACTGCTACTGCTACTGGTACTGCTACTGCTGTGCTGCTGGTTATGTTTATGGTCAGCAATGTTTATATGGTGGGTGGGTGGGTGGTGATGCTGGTAGTGTTGATGGTGGTATTAGCGAGGGTGGTGGTGGTGGTGGGAAACTAGCTGGGGGTGAGAACTGCGGAGTGCTGCGCGGCGCGAAAATAACCCCGCGGGGTGTCTCCTTCACCCCCTCCGACTCTCTTCTCATCTTGCTGTGTCTTTCTTCCGGCCCCTCTTGCAATTCTTACGGAGCAGGAGGGCCCTATGGGGTGAGGGGCCGGCGGCGGAGAGTTGGGGCCTTATGAAGCCTTGTTGAGTCGTAAAACCCCCTTGTACGGTTGGTTGCCTTCTTGGACTTATTATTTTTTTGAATTGTTACAGAGTGGGAGGCTTCTGGGCCATTTGAACACATTGTCATTTCTACGATTTATCATACCATACAGCACCATCCACCATTACCACACTGTACTACGCCATACGAACTGGAAGTCCAAGGCGATCATGCCATCTTGGATCCCTCCTCATCCATTCACCCGAACATCCGCAGAGACAGAGGGTTCAGCAATCGCCACCAATCCAATCTCGATCCATCAACTGTGATCTCGACTCCGCATCTCAGCAGCTAGCCATAACCTCACGCTCCCGACAATGTCTGGGGTCTCCCCAGGTATCGAATCCAGGACCTTAAAGTGAATAAGACAGTAGTGTCGCCCAGACCAGACTCTCTGGACTTATTAAAACTCCCAGGAAGGCCTTCACTTCCTTTCTGTGTGCCGTACAGAGCACTGTGTGTGGCCGTGTGTTTGGATTATCTGAGCCGTGATATGGGGGAAATGCCGATTGTGGGGGTACACTGCAGAATATCTTGACCCCAAAGCGAGCTCCGTAGTCACCAGCGATATGTCATTAGGATTTTCCAATGAAACTATAGGTAGACGCAGCTGCTTGAATTGCATAGCGTAGTTTTTGAAGTAAGAGCGTGATGTCAAAAGCCCGTAGAAACAAGCGGCGGTGTGGGGCGGAGGGCGACTAGGTGGTGGGCGACTAGAACCGACTAAAGACAACGGGGGCAACTAGAGTCACATAAAAATATAATCTAAAAAAATAGTTTCTTAATACCTCCTAAGCTAGCGGAGAAAGCAGAGCCCCAGGCCACCACAGCGCGTGCAATGTGACGAACGACAAGCAGAGGGTAGGTGGCCCCGCGAGAGGGCCTTAACGGGCCCTTCCCATGAAAGCCGAAGGTTGACTGACCGCATGTGAACGAAGTGAAAATAGAGGAAGATAGAAGACGACGTAGGAAATATATGGGCAGCGGTGAAGGTACGGAAAAGGTACGGAAAAGGTATTGGAGCAGAAACGCGGCAAAAAGGTATTATTACAGAAACCAAAGAAGTGCGAAGAGGCCGTATGAGCAAGGACCATGAACATAACCCTAATGTTGATACTGTATGAGGTAGTTTTAATGATCTGAGCCGCGATGAGGGAAATGCCGAAAGTGATAATGCTGTGAGGTGATGTTTGTACGACGCGGCGCAGGCATGTGGCACAATGACAGGCAGGGTCGACGACGTGCAGTGCAGCGTGTGCGCAGGGGAGGAAGCGCATCGCTGGCGGGATCTCACAACATCTTGGCGGTGCCGGTGTGTACGGCTTCCGGCGTAGTGGTATCAGCGTTGTTGTCGCCCAAGTGACTAAGAGCTACGTTGCCCAAAACTTGCATCCGTACACTCGTGAGATAATGCATAGTGCTGAACACGGGCTTCTGTGTCCCCCAGCACTGTCGGGTCGGTGGCGGATCCGGTAATACCGAGCACCGGCAGCACCCTGGTTCCAGGAACAGCGCCGGCGAGAGGCGGCAGCCCGGACGGCGTCGGGTGGAGTCGTGGTCATACCGGCACGTGCTGGGCTCCGACTGGAAGCATGTCGGGATGGTCTCCACAGGCACATGGGGCAGCCGCTCAGGAAGGGGGGGAGAGGCCCTCCAATGTGCGGGTTCGGACGGAACGAGGGTTTGTTGGCAAAGAGGCCGTATAGCGGTGGGGCCCGTATACCCTCTGTTCGGTGTATGGGGAGAGGCCTACGGGCGCATCCAGCTGGACGCGTGCGAGGGGGATCGGGGTGGTGGTGGTGGCGGAGGAGGCGGGTGTGGATGGAGGGAAAGGGGCGTCTGGGAGCCAGAGCTTCTTGTTCAGGGTTTGGGGGGGGGGGAGAAAAGCGTCGGAGCAGTGCAAATAGGGATTCCAGCTTGGTGTTGAGGAGGTAGGGGGAAAACCAGGTGGCGCGCTAGAGTACTCTTTGATGGGCATGTCGCACGCCTCTCTACAGAGGAAAGCGTGTGGGGACGTGGAGAAGTTTCCTTCTTGCGGAGCATTGATCCCCAACCTACGCAGCACACTGGCGCTACGGGAAAGGGTTGTATATTACGAGTCTTGGGGTCCTGGGAAGGGAAGGTTGTAATGAGTGGGGCTTGGAGAAGGGAAGGGGAGAGGGAGAGGGGGCTGGCACGCTGGGCCGCTTCTTCATCTTCGGCGACTACTTTGTTCTGCCCAGGGGCCCCGAGCTATGGCCATGCTCGGAGAGGTTGGGGAGTGGTAGCTTGTGAGGGGACTGTTGAAGAGGGTGATTTGCTGGTTGCATGGGGTCCGCCCGACATCGGTTCAGTGTTGGGACGTGCTTTAGCGTGCTCGGGATCAGAACGAAGCTTCCAGAGGACTCTTCGCTTTGGAAAATTGGAAGCTAGCATACCTAGGTGACATAACAGGTAAAGCGGGTATTAACAGGTAAAGCGTTGACCCACCGCTTTGTTGTTACCGTGTAAAAGCGGGGGTTAAAAGCGGGGGTGGCCGCGGGAGGCCAGCCGGCTTAAGCAGCACGGGCCTTCAGATCGCCACGGCTTCTATGCTGCTCACCTAGGTGCGTTTTTTTGAGTTGAATAATGCAGGGCCGTGCAGAGAGTTGCGGAGCAATTAGCGCCTTGAAATGATGCAGTATTATGCTGGATTGCTTTTGTTTGAGTCGAAAGTGGTGGACTCGAAGCATTGTGTGGCGAAACTGTGGGGTCTGTGGGGATTTTTTGACGAACCATCGCGCCTTAAAATCCCGGTGCGCACGCTGCCTGCATGAGCGCTTACGAATGGCTGTAGGGATCTGCGACTGCACTTGTAGACTGAGGGATCCGGACTTAAAGGTCACGAATTAACGTTGCAACGACATCTTTCGTGTGACAGTTCCCCGGCCGGTCGGTCACCGGTAGCGGAAACGTTTTGTATGCAATACAAGAAAAGAAAAAGCAAAATGAGAGATGAAGAAGGCAGGACAAGATGACTTCACTGCATACGGACATATGTCGGTTACTTGTAAGCTCACAAGTCAAATCCCTCTTTAAGATCATAGGATATCTAACGCCATTCGCAACAACCCCATGCTGTAGGTGTGTCCGGAAACTATGACAGGCTTTGGACTTATGGTCTGGGCGAAACCGTAAACCCTTTCCGAGTTTCCGTAATTTCCGTATCCACCTAATGACGGGAAGGAGGAAATGGGCCCCTGCTTATCGCATGCTAAAGGGATTGTTTGATGACAATTGATTGTAATTTTCAGTCAAACTGTTCGCTCACGCGAGCTAAATGCAGGCTTATTAAACTCCAAGAAAGGGAAGCGTGTTAGACAACCGACAGGCACAAAATGGCATCTCTTACAAGATGCATTGCGAATAAAAGACTGTTGTCACGGTACACGCGAACAAGGATTGTCTTTGTGCATGCTTCCGCAAGCGGAGCCATTTCTCATAATGGACATGGAGGAATGCGGCGTCCAGACTCAAACCAGAACGTTTCTGGGGTGTTCCAGTTGAGCGGGTCACCGGTCAGCTTATCACTAAACGACGTCAGGTAAAAGACTGCCTGGGCTTCAACTAGCTCACCTGGGAACCTTTGGATGAAGTAGATGGTTTTCTGACGCGGATATCATATTTGCGGCCCGACGAAGTGCGGAAGCGCGCTTCCTTGTGCTGCTGACGTGGGGCTTCCATTTCCGAAACACATGTTTTACCTTCCACATCCTCTGCTGCATCAGATCTGTGTAGACCCTTCCATCTCGTACGTTTGGCATGCATCTTATGACTGTCTCCTAGTTGCAGGGTTTGTTGCGTGACGAAGGTTCGAGTTGCTTCCTTGAAAATGATGTAGTGTTTCCCCTTAGGCTGTGAGGTTTGCTGTTATCCATATCTCCTGGCATTTCAAATGACGCCAGGTAATGCCTGAAATTTTCTCTTGTATCGTGCCTAACCCCTTGTAGGGATGCATATGAGGCTTGCAGCACAGCCCGGACGGCCTCGGAGCGGCGCCAGTGTTTCGAAGTGTATGGCCTGGATTCTGATAAGGTGCGGGCACGGTGTTGCTATACATGCTCGCGCCTCAGCAACGTACATGTCCCCAACATTTGCGCGTCCGGTCAGCTGGCACATTCTACTGCACCGCTTGTACATTGTTCGGCATACGTAAATCCACTTTAGCTTACTCCCCCGGTGACGGAGCGAAGGGGGACCAGATGGAAGACCTAAGCCCAAGCTTACAAAAAGGAAGTGGAAACTCAACTAACGCAGCCCCCCTCCGGTCCAACCAAAACAAATTCCAGGTCGATCGTTATTACGAGCGCGTCTGTGAGATGGAGCGGATGATTGACCAAGGTGCGCACATCGGCAGTTTCGGGGGGAGAACTCCAGGACGGGCATCCAGACTTGTGTCTGTTAGGCAGTTTCAGGCAGTTTCAATCAGCGTTTTGATGGAGCCAACAGAGCGCTAAGGGGTACGGCGTTTAGGATGTTGAGCACCATGGGTCACCTCGCCTAGGGGAGGCCTAAATGGGACCAGAATGTGCAGCCAAGTTGGAATGTGTCGCTCGAGGCAGGGTACATACCCCTGGACGGATATCCCTGAGGGACCCCGAGGGAAGCGCACGAGGACCTGGGGGTATATCGCCGGTAGTCGTGCGTTTGCCAGAGGGCCAATAGCTATCTGCAAGTCGTGATGAGCTTCTGACGAAATCCTTAAGCTTGTGTATTAAAGAGGCGCTTGGTTCCCCCCCATGCTTCACCGATGTCTCCCGTTCCATGAAGCGAGTTTTTCGCACTAATAGCGTACAGTCATACTTGCTGTTGCCAACTTATTTTGAGCACTCGCAGGCGAAGCAGCCGTATAGCCTCTGGCAGTATAGCCACCTGACCGCCGTGTGGCTTGCTGTCTTCCGCTTGGGACGCGCATACCCTCTCACTTCGTTTCTGAGTACATGAGCGGCTAAAGCTTACACAATGCCGGCGTCCTACGTCAATACGTAATACGGCAGAGCATGTGTTAATTGTGGTGCTGGTGCTGGTGCTGTACAGGTGACTCTGTGGCGCAGAACTTGGTGGCGTCCGGGGGCGCGATGATGCTGTACTTCATGGCGTACTGCATCCTCAAGGTGTGAAGACGAAGAACGTTGTTTTGTCCGTCTGCAAGGGTTGATGTACGACTAGCTGTCAGCTGCGGGGAAAAACTGGGGAGTAGCTCGCCAACATACCATGCATCAGCAAGATGTACCCGGCAGGCATGTCCTAACTGCGATTGCATTTTGGACACTCAAGAGTACACCGGGCAGAGTGCGTTTCAAAAGGTTACACGACGTTGTAAGGCTTGTTTTGGATGTGTAAAAAATTATTACAGTCCTTGTAGTCATTGCGGTAAGTGGCTGGTGTTGATGTTGAACAGATGTTGGCTTCATGTTTGGTAGAGCGGCCGCAAGCAAAATCTTGTTGATCTTGTTGATGTGTTGGGATGGAACTTTAGCACCGTGAACGGAACGGGCCGGCATGTGTATTACAGCCAGTTTTACATGTGTATTACATGCTGACGGGACAACATGGGAGGAACCGACGAGCACTGAAGTCGAAGCCCAGATTATTGACGTTGAACATCTTGCCGTCGTATTGTCGTGCAAACCATCGCCGCCGCTTGCAGCTACCCCGGCATTGTGCACCGCATCAGGCATGCGGCTGCAGGATTATAAGAGACTGTGCTGCGCTCCTGCTGTACTAGGTCGTGGCGGTTGAGTCAAGGTACGTTTCTCACTGTTTGATAGTTTTCCTACATGCGCGTGATATTATTTTGGTGGGCGCGAATGGTGTTAATGTATTCTGGGGTTGGCGACAGATCCTGGCTTGCACGAGTTTTGTGTTTGTGTTTGTGTACCCATCACGCTTACACACGTGTACTCGAACCAATGCGGGGGTTGGGGAACTAATATGCACAGCATGATACTGCCGGGGGAGGGATGGGAGGTGTTGGTTATACGGTTGGTTGATCGGAGATGGATGACGTGGGTTTGTAGTTAGCATGGATTGGCGCACACTTTGTCTTTTGTGCGCAAAAGCTCGGCGGCCGTCCTAGTCGCAGGCAAAGTTTGGTCACGCTTTGGTCACGCTCAACAATTCATGAGCGGGAGTTCCCATACCAAAGCGCTTCAGTGCACCTGCGGCTTTGTGGGCGCAGAGACGTTGAACATGTCATGGGGTTGCCGCATATTGATTAACAGCATGTTGACGAGATGCTTATGATTCCCTCTCCCGGCGAAATGTGTATTTGCGGATTGATCCCATGTTCCCGGCTGTGGCGGGGTGAAGGCTTTGGGTTGCAGCGACGAAAGCAAGGCGTGCTGTGCTGTCCAATAAATGGAAATGATTTGCAACTGCTGACTGACGCATCTAAACTGCTGACTGACGCATTGTCTTTCAGAACAATTTTTTCCGTTGTTACCCTGCTTAGGGGTTGATGTTCATTACGACGTATGTCACAGTTTTGCAGAAGACCTGCCGTGGCCTGAAAAATCATGTTCGGTGCATAGGGTGAATAGGTCAAATTTGTAATTTGTGTATATCTCAGTGAGAGTGTTGACGTTTAACTCAACGAATCTTGGATTCTACATCATTCTACCTCTGAAAGCACATTTCAGAACATGTACTAGTAAAAAAATTATTTGCACAGAAGTGTCGCGGGAGATGTTAGTGTTTCAATATTATTTTCCCGGTACCCTTGAAGCTTGTTCTGTGCCAGGAAATGTTGTACACAGTGGTACGCTGAATCGGCTGACCCGAAATCCGCCATGCATACACATGACAGCGGCATGAAAAACATGTATCGTATCCATAGTCATGCATTACTGCTCAACTATTGCTACCACAGTATTGCCAAAGATCATCTCAGTTTTATTCCCAAGTTATTGTAGTTTTACCGGGAAAAGGTGTTTTGGTTTTGCTAAAGTTTATCTTGTCGGAAGAATTGGACGTATCCTGAATTCATCTTAATGGAATAATTGAACATAAGAGTTGGACCGTCGCAGGCCCAACAATTACAATCAGCTTAGCCTATTTCGCCAGTATAGAGTCACACATCCCTCCGTTTCCTTCACCCACATTGCTCACCTCTCCAATGCTCACCAAAACTGAGGCTGCATGCTAGGCAGACAATTCGTCACGCACCGACGCGCTGCAAACGGACGCGTGTTAACTCACCGTTATGTCCACTAGCTAACCAACCCGACCGTTGTGAATGTCGCGTCCCCAACCTGGAACTCGAACATACGGTTTTGCCACTGGGGACTCGGTCACTACCTCACGATCAACGTCTCCCACTCCACCGCCACACATTAACTACACATGCGTTCCTTCCATTCAAGATGCTGAAAGTAATTGAACCAGCCCTGTGCCGGCAACGTGCCAGAATCACCACAACCAGCGTTCCCTGTCACCGCTACCACCACAAAACCACATTATATGTGACAAATACACCGCCCTTCCCTCGAGTAAAGCCCTGCGCATAATGTCAAAACAGTCTAGGTAAATCCACCAAGCCATGCAGAGCCTTGGCAAGTACCTTGCCCTCCGTACACAGCATAACATCAGGTCTCAGATGTTGGCACCAAAAGTTTATGCCACGGTGGCCTTGGACTTGGCCACGATCTCCGACTGAATGTTGGGCGGCACCACCTCGTACCGCTCCAGCTGCATCGTGTACTGGGCGCGTCCCTTGGTCATGCCACGCAGCACCGACACGTACTGGAACATCTCGCTCAGCGGCACGTATGCCTGCACCAGCTTCATGCCACCAGGCTTGTCCTCGAACTTGTTGATGATGCCACGGCGGCTGTTGAGGTCGCCAATCACGTCACCCATGTGGTCCTCGGGAGTGATCACCTCGACACGCATAATGGGCTCCAGGAGGCGGGCGCCACACTTGCCCATGGCCTCGCGGAAGGCACCGCGGGCAGCAATCTGGAACGCCAGGGCGTTCGAGTCGACCTCGTGGTACGACCCATCGTACAGCGTGCAGGTGACGTCCACCACAGGGAAACCTATGGGCGATGGAGAGGAGAGCTTATTTGGGCCGCCTCAAGTCAGAGCGGTGATGACTGAAAGGACTGCATCGGAAGCAACCCGCAAAAACCCTTCCCAGATCCTTCCTTGCAAACTATGCACGCGCTCACATACAGGCTACGCTGCGCCGTGCTTCTGCACAGCTCCGGAAACAGGCAAACAGTTCCAACAGGTCACTCCGACTTGGCAGTCATCAGCCGTACATTCGTCCACCCACTTATCCACCCCGCCATTCACCCACCAGCCAAGGAGCCGCTGCTCATGCACTCCTCCAGGCCCTTGACGACACCGGGCACGTACTCCTTGGGTACTGAGCCACCCTTGATCTCCGACTTGAACACGAAGCCGGTACCGGGCTCACCGGGCTCGAAACGGATGGCAACATCTGCAAACTGGCCTGAGCCGCCGGACTGCTTCTTGTGCACGTAGCGCACCTCGTTCGAGCGGCTGATGCCCTCACGGTAGTTGACCTGCGGAGCGCCCACCTCGCACTCCACCTTGAACTCACGGCGCAGGCGGTCCACGATGATCTCCAGATGCAGCTCGCCCATGCCCTCGATCACCGTCTACAGAGAGCACAACAAGTAAACTCAGTGTGTAAAAAACCTGACGCAAATCACTGCGAACCCTCCAATCTAAAGGAGCTAGGGGGGATACAATCCATCACTTGGCACGGCGGCGCTGAGCAGGGTAGTGTGCTCACGTGCCCGCATTGCCTCAGCACGACGTGGGCTTAAATCCTGAACACTAAGTTTACGGTGCTTGCTCGGAACACGAAGAATTATGTGCCAGGAATTATATGCCAGCTGCCTTTTACTCGCCTGATCATGACCGCAGCAAATGAGCAGCATCATACAAAAGTCCGCATCATACCACCCCTTCCGACCGACCAGCCCACAGCCCCCTCGCACCTGGTTAGTCTCCTCGTCGCGAGAGAAGTTAAACGAGGGGTCCTCCTGAGCCAGCTTGTTCAGGCCGACACCCATCTTCTCCAGGTCGGCCTTGGACTTGGGCTCGATTGCAATCTTGATGACCGGGTCTGGGAAGTCCATCTTCTCCAGGATGACGGGCGCCTTATCATCGCACAGAGTCTCACCTAACAGATGTGGGAAGAAAGCAGGTAATGTTTGCGCGTGAAGGCGGCAAGATGAAACGAGGAGGTTGTGTGGCAGCCAAAAAGGACACAGGTAAGAAGGCGTTCGGACGCGGGAGGGACAGGAAGCACGTTGAAAGCTTTGCCAGGAAAGAGCCCGCCAAGCAAATCCACGCACATCAAAATTCCTGCCATAGACCACTGTCATCTTCGGAGATAAAAAGTTCCTCGTAGATAGGTTAGAACTAGCCATTTTCCGTCCATTTCACACATGAAATCCACCGGCTCACCGGTAATGACGTCCTTCAGGCCACCAATGGCCACAATGTCGCCCGCGAAAGCGACCTTGATGTCCTCGCGGTTGTTGGCGTGCATCATCATCAGGCGTCCAATGCGTTCCTTCTTGTTCTTGTTCGAGTTGAGCGCGTACGAGCCGGCCTCCAACACGCCAGAGTAGATGCGGCAGAAGGTGAGCGAGCCGACGAAAGGATCGGTCATAATCTTGAAGCACAGGCCCGAGAATGGCGCCGCGTCGTCGGCGTTGCGGATCATCGCAACCTCCGCGTCGTGCATGTCCACACCCTGCAGGATCCCCGCGACGGCGGCGTCAGTGCCTCACTACTGGCGATTTAAATGACCCGACAGCAGCACAAGACGAACAACCACGGCGCAGCAGGGCACTCAGAAAGCACATCAGCTGGCATTGATAGACAGCTTCAACGAGACTGAAGGGTTCGCTTTCACGTCGGCGCCACAGTGTGTGTCTTTGGAACTTGGTGTTCAGCACAGGAAAGGCCACAAAGAGCCAACCAGGACTTATATTTCGATATCTAGTTACAATTGCCCAAAAAACTAGGGGCCGTCTGTAAAAGCCGAGGGGACCAGGGAAAGTATAATAAGAACCCTACGTCCGTTCCGTGCCCATCCAACCCCTTTCACAATGTCCCACCTGAACGGCGTCAATGTCGAGCGGGCTGGGCAGGTACTTGATGACCGAATCCAGCAGCGGCTGCACACCCTTGTTCTTGAACGCCGTGCCGCACACAATGGGCACAAAGGATTGGGCGATGGTGCCCTTGCGGATCAGGCGCTCGATGGTGGCCTCGTCGGGCATCTCCCCCTGGAATAGCAGGGGAGAGGGGCACGGCAACACGTCGAGTTACGTATTGTACAGGAGGCGACGATGCGGAATTCGATATGCTTAGCCCACCGATGCTATCGCCGTCTCGCTATGAAACTAGTTCCTTACTCAACAGTGGAGGCCCAGCCATCGCACCCGCTCAAAAACTATCTCATCACTTTCATCATGTGTACGTTCTACACTCCGCGACACATTATTTCGCATCCTCGCTTCCTTCCAAAACAAACTGCATAGGGCGGACTTACGAAGCAGGCCACTTCAACAATCTTGGGGTAGTTACGGTACCCACCTCGAAGTACTTCTCCAGCACCTCGTCGTCCTGCTCCACGATCATGTCGATAAGCTTCTCGCGATACTCCTGGGCCTGAGGACCAGGATTGCGAAAGGGAATGAAGGCATGACGGCTCAACAGCTCCGTGAAAGACATTAAACCAGGGCCGTTTGCACAATCTATTTCCCTACATAATTCCCCACATAACAAGGACAAGCTTCGGCATGCGTCAGCCATAGCATAGCGGAACAGCGTTACTATCAGCCAGCCTTACACGATCATCAGCGAAGCCAGCCCATTTCATGGCCCACTCGTAACAATCCTACCCGCCCCACATGACAGCTTTCAACTTCCATACAGCAGCTCCTAGCCACATGCCGGATTCCCCAGCCTGACCCAATTCGCCGACCTAGCTCCACACGCCTCAAACTCTGGTAATGTCTCGCACGGAAATCCGTTTGAACGTGGTTGCATATCGCAGCACACCACTGCCCGCAGCTCCCCCCCGTCACATCATCTGCTGCATCACGATCTATCCAGGCCACCAACCTTACCACCTTCACCATGAAATCCCCCATTACAATGGCCTGACGTAGGTTTTGTCATCATCAGAAGCACCCTGTGCTGCAGGGCGCCGTCCCTCCCCTCCCCATGCTACACACCACGCTCCGCCCCGCGCACCTTGTCCGCCATGTCCTCGGGAATGGGCAGCTCCTCAAACTTGGCCCCCAGCTCCTCGCCGGTCCACACAATGGCCTTCATCTTCACAAGGTCAATGATACCCTTGAACTGGTCCTCAGAACCTGAGGACGACAACACAACCACCAGCATCTTACACATCAGTACAACAGAGCGTTACCTCAGCAGCAGGATGAGATTTCAGCCGGAAAAGCGACAACAGCCAGAGTGGACGGCGCTGCGCTGCTCCTCGAAGGGGCTCGGATGACCTCGCTTCTGTGTCATATGTGTCATATGGATATTTAGTCACAAGCGTGAAGGCCAGAGACCGCATTTTTAACGGCTGAAGTCCCGCGGACTGAAGGGTTAGTTGATCAAAAAGAGCGCCAAGAGGGGCGCACTTCACACCACGCACCAATGGGCAGCTGGATGACGAGCGGCTTGGCGCCCAGGTTGGAGACCACCATCTTGACGCAGTTGTAGAAGTCAGCACCCAGGCGGTCCATCTTGTTGACGAAGCAAATACGGGGAACCTGTCGTTCAAGAATTAAACCGAAGGGCGCCGGCGCAAGGCATACCTTTAGCGGCATATCTTTAGACCACGTGAGCAAGCACATTTGGAAGATCGTTACAAATAGATTGCTCATCTCGCTGACCCAAATCAAAGGAGGCAGCCTTCACTGTGTTTCACGTCTTGGAGGCTCGGGGGATGAGGTCCCACTCTACCGCCCCCCTTGTTGTGTCAGGACGCCGTGCGCTCCAAGCATGCACCAGCAGTTGCAACACCAAGAAAATCCCAGATACGCAGATGGACCCCAGCTTAAACCCAAGACACTTGCTGTCCGTGGAAAATTACCACCCCTTACAAAAAACAATTCGTACCCCCTGAACAATTTCCCCGAAGAGAGTTCCAGTCACCGTCACTTAGTCGCAAGTCAGTCACCGCCAATTATAAGCCCCGTACAGTACAAATAGAGCACGGCTCGCTCCTCTTGTCCTTGCTTCTAGTTTACAGCACATAAAGATCGCCCCATGTGGTCGCCGCCGTGTGAACCCCACCCAACCACCGTTGTTGAACCAGACATCCCACCGACCAATCGAAAAGAAAACCCTCCAGACCAGCACTGCGGTGTGCAATCATTCATATGTCCATCTGGGTTGTCAGCTCACAACCTCATCCGCAAGTCTCCACGGTAATAAGAAGCAACGTCCCAACGACGGAGGGACCACTGGTTTCGAATCCTAACGCCCCGGGGAGCTTAGTGCCCCCTCAGGGAGAGTAACTGAAGGACCCAGAGCCGACCGGCCCCCACCTGTGTCCCTTGAGCTCACCTTGTACTTATCCGCCTGGCGCCACACGGTCTCGGACTGGGGCTCCACGCCGGACACGGCGTCGAACACCGCCACAGCGCCGTCCAGCACACGCAGGGCACGCTCCACCTGCAAGACGTATAGTGTCGTGTCGTGTGATGTCGCCGTGGGTAACTTGATCAAATGCGTGAGTTGTGGAAATTATGAAGCGCTTGGGAGGATGGGAAGACCCCTGTAAGACGCTCGCCCGTTCAACCCAGACGAGCGCAATCCCCGACCCAATGTGAGATAATTTTCTTACCCACAACGACAACGACAAAATTAACTGTGCCTTTACCCGCTTCTGTCCATCCTAAACCCATTCCGGTTTCCGGCAAAACACTTTTACAGGTTTGAATCTCAAAGAGCCTCCCTCCTTCCTCACCTCCAGGGTGAAGTCCACGTGACCCGGGGTGTCGATAATGTTGATGCGGTGGTTCTTCCACATGCAGGTGGTGGCGGCGGCGGTGATGGTGATACCGCGCTCCTGTTCCTGAACCATCCAGTCCATGGTAGCCGTGCCCTCGTGCACCTCACCGATCTTGTACGATTTGCCAGTGTAGTACAGGATACGTTCGGTGGTAGTGGTCTGCACGTAAACAAAATGATGGTCCATTAAGCATTTGAAGTCGTATCCAATAAGACATTAAGACACTGCAGGGACCCAGAGCGGCTCCAATCCGTGGGACCCCAGTTACAAGCTGATGTTCAGAAGGATACGGCTCAGAATAAAATCAGTAAAGTAAAATAATGCGATTGTGGTCATGGAAGCTAAGTAGCGGCTCTTGATATTCACTGCGCAGAACCGCGTTTAATGTCATTCACAGAGACACGCACCTTGCCCGCATCGATATGGGCCATGATACCAATGTTGCGGTACTTGTCCAGCGGCCACTCACGGCGTGTGTCTGAATAAAATCATAGAGATAGATTTATGCTGGAAGCACTCTGCAACTTGTGCTGCATGCCACTTACCGTATGTCGGGGCCGGTGCCACGGCTGCTAAGGCATTACAAGCCATACGAGCAGCACGCCTCAGACCGATGCGGGTGGTGGCCGACCGCCGGCAGCCAGCCTGCAAGGACGTGGTAAAGCAATTGTGGGTCAGCATATCCGGCCGCCGCAGGACGGACATCTAATCCATAAAAAATATGCGCACCTTAAACGCAGCCTGCTGTGTGAGAGCCATCACCGGAGCAGGAACGGCCTTCACGGCCGAGCAAACAGGAGACTGCACCTGGCGCTTTAGCGCCTGGCGTGTCGACGCCTTCATGCCGGACTTCAGAGCCATTTTAATGCTCTGTCCTTAGGCACAAGAAATGTAACCATAGATTGGGATGCCTGGAATAATAAGTATCGTGCGCCTGCAGTAGAGACCGCACGACGGAATTGTGGTCCACGGATGTTTCCGTACGATTCGGCAAAATAGTTTGCCTGGTCCTAAGTCCATACCCAACAATTCCATAACCGCAAATATGTTTTTGATGAGTTGTTGGTGATTATAAAACGACATGCTGCATCACCTTGGTTGGCTGAGCTATACCTACGCTCGTTGAATCCTAAGTAATGTTGATATTACTTAAATCCTGTGTACCTAAAGGAGACTTAATAAAGGTATCTTATTTGGAAAGCTGTCCGGTTGCTGTAAAGGTTATTTATAGCCTGGGTTGAACTGCCCATGCACAAGCCCTCTTGTTTACAGTGATGTAGAGGCAAAGTGAACGGTAACCAAAGATATGAATGTGTGCTGCAATTAGGCCGATGGCATCAGTCCCCAAAGCCTGGCTTTCCAGTGCAACGAATATAACGGATTACTGAACTTGAAAGCCATGAAAAAACCGAGCCTCCTTCCTAACAACGCGAACATCAGAAGCTATAACCCTAATCTATTAAACGGAACGGTATATAACCAGGCAGACCATGCTGCACTTTTGATGATGCGCATACGAGGCTCATAAGGCCCAATAGTTGACAAATGTAACGAGGGCTCTAGGAGTGTTTCTCGCACGTGTGGATTTGTATCCACCACGCAAGGAGGGGAACCTCTTTGTGCATTGCGCTTTCCGTGAACCCGGCTTGTGCATGAGCTTAAGTTGTGCACGGACGTAGGTCATAGGAGTATGGGTAACTCTGTAGAACCGAAAGGCCTAGGGAGGCTACGTTAAACACTAATGGGCCTTCTCGTCAGGCTTTTCGCCGAGGGTGGTGGTGGGATATGCGTGCGCGCGCGTGCTGCGTGCTGCAGAGTACAATTTGCTTAGAACGGCATCTTAGAACTCTTTTGGAAGCTTAATCCCATCGTGACAAAAGGAGTCCGGACCATGACAAAATTCACTGCTTGCAGCATGTAAAAGGAATGCAAATAGACCTTCTTACAAACGTACGAGGGATTTCATGCGACAGTGGAAAGACGCAAATAAGCCGTGCCACCAACAGGCGCAGAGTATCGTGGGTTCTTTGGGTACAGATAGCAGAGCACATCGTGACCAGGTTGATTATCCTGCATGTATGGCGATTTGCAGGCATCCTACATGCAGGCGTCCTAATGTCTTCCGGCTTGTGCGAATGATTCAACCCGTTCACCCACGAAAAACATTCTTCTATACATGGCAATATAACTGATACTTAGTCTGAATTTCACAAGGTGCAGTTATTGTTGTCTGGCATACGTTGTACAAGGTTGGTGCTATCAATCGTACAGGACCCCACGCCCGCTCGTCCTGAGAAGCAGGCCGTAAGCTGTGCCTGACCAGTTTAAACTCTATATGATTCAGTGGGAGAATGTTTAGGCTGATGGCTGCAGGCAATAATCAAAGAATGTACGGGGACAGTGCAGGGGCCGCTGGCACTGTTTCGTACTGCAATACGGCAAGGTCCAAGATCGCACACTAACTCGGCAACTGGGATTTTTTCCTTTCATTTTCCTACGTCCATCATTTCTTACCATGACTGGAAAAACGATTTTGCGTTCCGATGGCATTTGCCGCAGCGCCGTTCTTAGGCATCTTGCGTTCAAGCCTATCGCCGTAGGCATGTCGCGAGCGACAGCGGTAGTTGTTAAAGCACAGCCAGCTGCAGGCGGCATGCAAGATCCGCTCATGGTTCGCGCTGCGCGTGGCGAAAAAGTTGAGCGTGCTCCCTGCTGGATGATGCGGCAAGCTGGCCGGTGAGATCAATAACAGTATAAAACTTGTAAGAGGTGCGGCTGTATTCTGGTGTTCGGGGTGCAAACATGCATTTGTCTCTCCGCTGCACAGCTATCAAAAATCGTATCGGGAGCTGGCGAAGAAACATCCGTCTTTTCGTGAGCGTTCTGAGACAACTGAGCTGATCGTGGAGATCAGCTTACAGCCCTGGAATTCCTTCAGGCCAGATGGCGTCATTTTGTTTAGCGACATTCTTACACCTCTTCCGGGGATCGGTGTCAACTTTGACATCGACGATAACAAGGGGCCGATTATTGATACCCCCATCCGTAGCCTGGAGCAAGTGAAGCAGCTGCACGAAATGGATTTCGGCAAGGTGGACTTCGTGGGCAGGTGAGGGAAAGGTATGGGGAAAGGCCATGGAATGTAGTGGAGCGTCTGTTGGCGTGGGTTCCCGCTTTAGTAATCGTGGGGCTTGTTCATTACCCTTGCTGGGTTGTGAGGGCAAGTGACGGTGGTTGGGGATGGGCGAGCTCTAGCACCGTGCCCATATGCTGCCATGGAATCTGCTGATCTGGCACACACAGTCAGCAGACGAACAACTGCAAACCAACCAGTAGGTGTCTTCTCACAGCCCTGCGGAGACATGGCCAGGTCTAAGGCAAACATGGATGCGCTGCAGGGACATTGTCCCATGACGATGCATTGCGGTATCCGGGCTCAAATGGGGGGTTTGAGGCGCGCATGATTCCGTTAGGCGGTTGTGGAAATGTTGCAAAGGTGGCTCATCAAATGTGCATAGCCATAGGCGCGCAAGCTCTTGCCGAGGTGCAGGACTGCTCCCATTGTAGCGATAACAGGTTCGTGGTGAAGGGTCTGCAGTGGCACAGTGAGAGCCCGCTTAAACCTGGTCTTCAGCGAGGGCATATACTGTTGGGCGCACGGCAAAACGAGGCGGTTGCATTAACCTAGATCCTTACAACCTACCAACGCAGGGCATTGACCCAGCTCCGGGCAGAGGTGAACAACCAAGCGGCGGTGCTGGGCTTCGTGGGCTCCCCGTGGACGTTAGCCACGTACCTGATTGAGGGTGGTTCCACGTCGCTATATAAGACCATTAAGACGATGTGCTTTTCTGCGCCAGACGTCCTGGACGCCTTGCTGACCAAGCTGGCGGATGCTATGGCTGCGTACATCAAGTACCAGATCCGTGCGGGCGCCCAGTGCGTGCAGATTTTTGACTCGTGGGGTGGGCAGCTCCCACCCCGGGAGTGGGAGAAGTAAGCGCTGCTGGGCGGGGCACAGCCGCTGGGGATGGTGACGTTCGGGTTGTGCTCGGCAGGGCTGTTTGCTTAGCAGAGCTATGGAGTAGATGCACGTCGTGCACAGTATGAAGTGATGGTTTGGATGAGTCATGCAGCATCAATATGGATCTTCTCGCTGCCCGGTGTCGATACGCCGCACTGCCGGGTGGCATCGCGTTGTATGATATAGTTTTGCGGCTGGCGAGGCGATGGCGAAAGCATCAACAGTGGCGTCGCAACGCGGTTTCCTGCTTCCCTCCTTACCCTCATTCGCCCGCAGGTGGAGCGGACCGTATCTGAAGCGCATCATTGCATCGGTGAAAGCTGAGTATCCCACAGTGCCGCTGACGCTCTATGCGAACGGTTCGGGCGGCCTCTTGGAACGCTTGGCGGCAACGGGCGCGGACGTGGTTGGCGTTGACTGGACGACGGACATGTCGGACGCGCGGCGTCGGATAGATAGCAATGTATCGGTGCAGGGCAACGTGGACCCCGCTATCCTCTTTGCATCGAAGGTATGTAATACTGTGAAGTTGTTTAAGTCACCACGTGTAATGTTATACCGCCACATTGATCGTGCAATGGAGACCTTGTGCACGTGCGTCCATACCAGTCGATTATGTTTGCTATGCCTACGTAGATAAGGCTTTCGTCTCAGCATACCCGGCGATGATCCAACTTTTTTTACTGCACAGGATGCTATTGAGGATGCCGTGCGGGATTGCCTGCGCAAGGCGGGGGGCAATCGCCACATCCTCAACCTGGGCCACGGAGTCTTGGTGGGCACGCCCGAGGAGGGAGTCGCGCACATGTTCGATCTGTCGAAACGCTTGACATACGCCGACGTTGCTCAGATCTGAGCGGCTACTGTCGGGGGCCTGAAGTGTGGGAACTATTAAAGCACTGTAGGTCGTTCATTATGGCGTGTCACCCTCTGTTTCAGTTCGTAATCACAAAGGTTTAAGACTAACGTGGGATCGGGTTTAGTATTGTTAATGCATGTATGTATAACTGTTGTGCTTGTCTACCGATGCGGTCAAAGGATTGGATAGCAATCTATTGTGTATCTTTTTTCAATAGGTAGCTACATATTTGCTTCATACCGCTGTAAACTGTAGACCGTACACATGTACATAAAATTTTCACGTCATACGAATGAATCGCCGCATTTTTTAGCTCTTTCACGTTAAAATTGCCAGCGTCAGTACGAAATCAATGATCACACAGCCCAGCACACACCTATCGACCTCAGTGTGGGACATTTCCCTAGCCCGATACGCACCAGCACACATGAAAGGACTTTTATCGCAACAGCACGTGTTTATGTACGGGTCGCATGATTTCCAGTCCAGGTCGAACTTCGACCTGGTCGCGCCCACCCCGTCCGCATCAACCAGAGTGGCCCAGGAACCTTCGATGGGTAACATTTTAATGGTCCTCCTTGCGTTCGTACCACTCATCCAGCGTCTTGATAGTGATGCGGCGCAGCAGCTCGCGGGGGAAAATTCGCAACAGCGACCAAGCCAGGTCCAACGAGTTGAAGATTGTGCGGTTGTCATAGCTTCCCTGTATAGGCAACAAACGGGATTACCGCACAGATCATGACAAAATGAGACGAAAGCAGACGTATCAAGGGCAAAGACATTTCAGGTACTCTATATAAACAGACACCCACCTGTGCAACAAACTTCTTCTCGAACTTCTCCAAAAATTCTAGGTACAGCAGATCCTCCGACGACAGCGCCTCCTCACCGACGACGGCCTTCATGGCTGCCACATCCTTGCCGATGGCATAGTTGGCGTACAGCTGGTTGGACACCTCAGAGTGGTCCCTAAGCAATACGCGTGTTAAGCAACGAGGCAATTTCAAGAGAGCACAAAAGGAGGTATAGTAACGCGGCTAAGGCGTTATGCACTTCAAGAGAGCAACAACCTAAACACAACAAAAATACACTTATTAATCTTCCCGACCAGCCAAGAGCTTCCCCCTTTTACACGTCATATCACCCACACACATGTGTACGCAACGCGGCTTCGAAGTGGAGACTTACTTGCGAGTCATGCCCTCGCCAATGGCGGACTTCATGAGACGAGACAGCGATGGCAGCACGTTGATCGGCGGGTAGATCTGGCGGTTGTGCAGCTGGCGATCAATATAGATCTGGCCCTCCGTGATGTAGCCCGTCAGATCGGGAATCGGGTGGGTGATATCATCGTTTGGCATGGTAAGAATTGGCAGCTGCGTGATTGAACCCTTGCGGCCCTCAATACGACCAGCACGCTCGTAAATAGTTGCCAAGTCAGTGTACATGTAACCTGGGGGCGGCCAAAGCAAAATAGGAATAAGGACCTCATAATGCGAAAATCAATGCACCATTCAAAATTCTGTGCCGCATACGCCTACGAGCCCCCAGCGGCAGTGATTTAAGAGGCCGAGGCAAGCACTCCACCCCAGAACTCGGGACCCATATGAGCAAATACTGCGCACCAGGGTAACCACGGCGACCAGGCACTTCCTCACGAGCCGCCGACACCTCACGCAGCGCATCAGCGTACGATGACATGTCCGTCAAAATGACCAGCACATGGTAGCCGCATTCGTACGCCAGGTACTCCGCAGTGGTCAGCGCAATACGCGGTGTAATGATGCGCTCAATAGTGGGATCGTTGGCCAGGTTCAGGAACAGCACCGTGCGCTCCAAAGAGCCGTTCTCCTCGAAATCCTGTGCCAAAGCGGCGACAAGGCGATTGCTCTTTTGTCAAATGCAATACTCTCTTGTTGTTGTGGAAGGTCGATGCAGCTGTCTATATTGGTAACACGCAAGACGGTAGCTACCCTTAAATAAGACATTCAGTTGCTGAAATAACATCATCCTAACATGCGGTGCAGCACCAGCCATCTGATTCCATGGTAAATGGGCGGAAATGGGGTCATGTAAATAAAGACCGTGCCCCATACTCTGAGGCCGAACCTAAGGCCTGCGTCCTCCACATTATACCCGTCCCGCATCCTAGGCCCGGACAGTAACGCGTTTCACAAACACGCACATTTTACGAACATAAACTCCATACTCAATTAATAGGGATCAGCTTAACGAAAATTCGCGGGACACGACTGGCTAAACTATGCACAGGAGTTAGCATCGTCGTAGGTCGGCAGCCATTGCACATGATATCATAACTAAATGCCTTCCACATGATGCCTTCCAACAATATCCCACAAAAATTGCAATAATACATTCCATGCCGCCCCCATGCGACCATCAAGCTTCCGGCACAGGTCCTATGATTACATGTCATTCGCTGCAACACTGGACGCCACTGAGCGATGGCCCACGGATCTCACCTGCTTGAAAAAGTGAGCTGTCTCCATGTTCACACCCATTGCAGCGAAAACGATAGCGAACGAGTCCTCCTCCTCACCCTCAGCCCCGTGACCGTGGCTGTGCTTCTTTTGGCCTGCTGGCAGCTTGACCAGACCGGCCTGACGACAAATCTGAGCAGCGATATCGTTGTGTGGCAGACCTGCGACAACAACGACAGGAAATGGGAAATTTTGGGCGCTTAACACCAATCCCAACTCCCCGCACTCTGTCGTATGACAGGCACGGGGCCGTCGTCAAATTCCAGTCCCATGCCGTGCGAAAATACGGTTTGTTGCTGAGCACTACGGCTGGCCGCATCCCCACAGAAGACAATATGCGAAGCATCTTAATCATATGCTTGGTAGTACCCGGACACACCCCGCTGAAAACCCAAGGGTCACACCTTCCCACGCAGCATGTCTACTCTCCCACTGCATATGTATGATGTGCAGCATCGCATGTACACCCTTCCCCCGGCGTATCCGATGGAGACGCACCAGCAGCCGAAAACAGCGGAATCTTCTGTCCACGGGCGATGGAATTCATGACATCAATCGTTGAAATGCCCGTCTGAATCATCTCCTCCGGGTACGTGCGCTCGGCTGGGTTGATTGAGGCACCAGTGATATCCAAGAAGGCCTCCGCCAGGATCGGGGGACTGCAGAAGCGATAACGCAGTGTCGACTTATACTCCGCACTCATAACAGAGTCCCGTTGATTCTATCAAGCTCACCCCCCAACCAACCATCCCTGCTCACCCTCCATCAATGGGCTTGCCCGATCCGTTGAAGACACGCCCCAGCATGTCACGAGAGACCGGGGTCGTAAGCACCTGCAAAAAAACAGTGCATCCGCTTTAAGAACTTTCCCTGTGTTGCATGACATCGTTGCGTGTACCTCTCCAGTGAACTCCAACGTGGTCTTCCGGTTGTCAATGCCCGATGTGCCCTCGAAAACCTGCACCACCGCGCGAGTGCCGTCCACTTCCAGCACCTGGCCACGGCGGAATGACCCATCTCCAAGCCGAATCTCCACAATTTCGGCATACTTCGGCTTCTGCGGATCAGGCAGATGGTTGTTGTTGCACCAGAACCTCCCAAGCGATCCACACAAACAATCAGTCATCACGCACCTTGACGCACTCCACAACGACAAGAGGGCCACTGACACCTGCAACTGTCCGGTATTCTGCACGGAGGGACAGTCTGACTGTAAGGGCTCCTTAAAGCTCGCATTTAGCCTACATCTGGTACGTACCAAGGTGCGGCTCGCACACGTAGTCCCTGCTAGCAGCATCTACGTGAGCCTTGAAGGCAAGCTCACTGGAAAGCATGTCAATTGCCGCCATGGTCACGGCAGCCTAAGTCTGAAGAAGCAATCAGACCCGCTGATTTGAACCTAGCCAGAAGCCAAACAAGTTTCAAATGTAAGTCGCTCCAGACTTACGGCTGGCTTCAGAGTCAACTCATGATGCTTTTACTCGGCCAATCGTCAGTCCCGCACAGAAGCATCATTGTAGTACGCCAGTCCACAAACCCCTAATAGGGGTCCCCTATTCATGATAGACTTTGTCGTTTAATGGCTTATAACAATACGCTGCTAGATCGCGAAATTCTAGGATTCCGTTTTGGCTCTGGCGGTGCGGCTACAGCGGGCGCGGTCGTCGAGTTTGCAGTCCCTGAATTGACCCCAAGAAAACTTGCCTTTCCTTGCATGGGACTATCCCATCAGCTTTTGGTGATAGTGCTTTAGTACAGACATTCATCATCAGACCTAAGAACCGACAAATTTCTAGGTTGTGTGCATGGCGCCGAGTCCCCTTGTGCATGGCACTTTCCATTTCCATACGATAAAGGTCACAAAATGAGAGCTCCATATCATAACCTGATACTGGTAACAGGAGCGGATAGGAGCGGATCAACGCATTCACAGCGCAAGGACCCATGGGCCGCCAAAGCGCGGGTCGCAGTATCAATAGCATTCATCAGAGAGACGCATCTCTGCCCTTATATGGGCAAGCAACAGAGCATTGCTTGGTGAGGACTATGTAAACTTCACACCAAGTTCCTCCGCCGTCGAACCCTTGAAGGTCCTGCAAGGAGGTGTAGATGGAACGGGCGCACAAGAAGAGTGTCGAAGCTTTGGTTCTCGCGCAAACCTCTGGGACGCTTCTCACCCTGCCATTCGGAGCAGCATCTAGGACTGCAGTAGCATGCTCAGGTGTGCCCTCATGCCCCGGCTAACTTGCACTTTTGCAACCACGACAGATGGACAACGGTTGGCGGAAGAATTTTGCAGCGCACGTCGCGCACACTTGACGGCCCCTCCACGTCATGTTCCTTTGAGACGTCCTCCGACCCAAACCCAGGGATTATGGACGCAGTGAAGATGAATGCATTCAGATCGCCAGTCTGTTGTCCAAAGGCGCTTACCTTACTTTGGCCTGGGTTTCGAGCAACCGAAGCACACGTGTCAGCACCTCGGTATGCAAGCCAAACAGATCTGCAACCACGTGCATGTGAAATCGCGCCATAGGCTTGTCCGTGTCAATCGGTCGTCGAGGAAACATTTTCCGCAGCGTCCTTGCTCAGAATGAAAACGGTGTGGGACTTGTTCGGGATTGAGCAAGTTGCAAGTGCGCAGCGACAACAAGAAAGCCACACATCCCCTTCGGTTCCCCTAAAGGGGACAAACATTTTAGTGTTCCCCTTTTTGGGGGGGGGGACTTCATCCCCTTTAGGTGAACTAAAGGGGGAACCCCTACGTCTTCTCCAAAGGGGAACACTTTAGTGTCAGCTAGGACGGCAATACAGCACCGTGTGAGCTTGCGGCTAGGGCCCAGGACCCTGTTACTCGAGTACTGCCGCGTCCATAAGCCACATGGCGTCGCTGTCATAGCTGCACACCCATATGCCCGCACATGAACTTCGCCACATTACCGCCCCTCACCGGTACCGCGCACGTCGTCTCCCCCGACCAGCTCATCCATAGTCATGACAGAGTCAGACAGACCGTACGTCCGTACGAAATCCATGAGCAAGGCTGCCCATTCGTCAATCTGCAATTTCATCGAAAGGCGCCGTGGTAAGCCTGGTTATCATACAAATCCGCGCGGTACCCATCTCAGCAGCGGGTATGAAGCAGCCGCCATTCACTCCCTCAGTTACCTTTATGCAAAAGGAAAAACCCACTTCCCCCAAGTGCGCACCCGCTTCCAAAGGATGAGACACTGCGTTTTGGACTTGCCTAGCCATTCAGCCCGTCCTGCGGATGGAATGGAAGTAAAAAGGTAAGCTTGATAACAATTCGATGAGGAGACCATCCTTGAAGCTGGCCTTGCCGGTTGGGCTCCCAGCCGCGTCGGTTACTGCTGAAGTGACGCAAGCGTGAAGGCCAACATACTGCTAGCGTGACAGCCAACCTACCATCCAGAAACCCATCGAACGCGGAGCGACGCGTATCACGCAAACGTGAGGGCACAGGCGTGCCATGAGCTTTTGGTACATGCGCATGAGATATACATGTCCGGCACGGAGGCGGCTGAGTTCTGTTCTAGGCAACGCGCTGCAAAGGTGTACCCAGGATGGATTCACGTCCGTCCTGCCGCGAGGACGGGTGCGGCGTGTACACTGGTGGCCAGCTGCTCTTTCGATTCTTGTGCACTGCTGCCGTCCAATGTCTGATAATATTACGGATGGAACAGAGCATCATAGCTCAGGAGGGGAAGCCCAGGGGGGGAAGCCCAAGCCTACATATACCGACCGCATACTTTCCCCTAGCAACAGCCCGCACCTTGCGCAACGAGCTCGTCCAAGATGATGACTCTGGCATCAATGCTTAGCTTCCCTGCAGGTAAGGGACATCATCCCATTTATGACTGGTACCCGTCATGACATGCCCTTCGGGGATGCAAACGACAGTGACACAGGGGCTACAACAGCATGCCCTTCGCGCCTGAGCACGGATGAGCGTGGCGCATCTGCGGGAAACATATCAGGAGAAGGCTAATACAGGAAATGAGATCATCTCACGAGGGGGAAGGGGATTCATTGTCGAGCAGCTGGTCAGGAGCAGCTGGCACGGTATGCGTGTTTTACCACCGGCAACCCCGTCATCGTGCATTTAAGCCCGTGTTACAGAGCAACGAAGTCAGTCACATGCTGCTGTGCTAGACAACAGATTGGAAACAGTAGCTGATTTGCAATTTGGCTAGACACATAACCACTTTCAAACACCACGGTGCACATCCCCATGGACGGGCCGGGGACGCTTGCCAGGATTTGGGCTCTTCCTGGGTGTTGAAAGCACGAACCATGTGGCAATCAGGACTCACGGTTGATGCTAGTGTTTGAAAACAGCTGTGACTCAGCCTGTACGTCAAGGACGAACGTCTGCATGGTAGGGACGGGGTAGACACCGGGGGAGTGTGTTAGCTGTCTGCCTAGGCCCGTAGAATAGGTACGAGGCGCCTTGCCTTTGTGTGATGGCAAAAGCTGAGGATAAGCGAACACCAGAGGCCAACTTGCTTGTCTCGAGTCTCTTTAACAGGCTGCAGCCTGTAAGTGCAATGCCCTTTGAAACCATTGAAACCAAGGCGTCTTAACAGAGGATGAAAGTCTCTTACGTAAAGTAGGGAGGATAGTTGAAAAAGTAAGGAAAGGTGAAGCCAGAGTTCATGACCTTGAGCGTGCACCCTGAACTTCAGTCAGCGAGCGTGGCCCGGCGCGAAACCTATAGAATCAGAAGGATATACAAAACGATTATTTCTAGTATAGTGTTGTTATTTCTTTATCACCTAGATCCCTGGCTGTCAACGGGTTGTTCTTTCTGCCTTTAGCAGTTAATGGTGCGCGAGCATGCTGCACGTCGCATTTATTGAGCCTTGCAATTTTGCCTTGGACGAAGCATTTGCGCTGGTAGATATTTTGCAAGGGAATAATGTGCGTCCCATGGGCCCCATGCCGTTGAACTAGGTAGCATATTATTGTGCTGCTGGGAGCCTGTGAGGATTGCACACTCCAAGATGAACAAGAAGATTGGCACATTCAATATTAGCGCCTTACAGAACTAAGGCGCAATAGAGTGAAACACGCGATGACTCCTTACACCCACCAAGGAAGCCATGATGGCACAGGGCTAGGCCAGCCATGCATCAAGATGGCAATCATAAAAACCATTGCAGTCAACTCCACATTTTACCACAGGGAGAACCCGATATGTCCCAAAAGGATATGCCTTGGCCATACGTCCAACGAACGAAGTTGTGCCGATGGCAGTCAGCTACCTTGCTCCGGCGAGCAAAGTCCCCGACTACCTAGTCTTCCTCAAGACAGCCTTCCTCTCTGGCGAGAAAAGGCCGTCTTAACAGAGGACTTTAAGCGGATTTGGAAAGCGAAGCTGTGAAACTACTCGTGGGGTTCATCTTTACGTACGCTAAAGCAGCCGTACCATTACAACAAACAGACCGGACATGCCCTCAATGATGCGCAGCCTGTCGCGTGAGAAAGCACCAAAAGTGTAACTGGCTGGAATGGCGCCACGCAACGGGGTGTAAGGGATAAAGGATACAGAGGCCAGCAAGGGGAGGGGCTTCCCTCTAAGCCAGCTTATCCCCCACCATCCAAATCCAAGAGTTTAAGTCCCGCTGCAATGCCAGCTACGGCGGCAACAGCTTCACGAAGCGCAGGTGCCGGATGCCCGGTGCCGGCGGCAGCAGCAGTCCGCTTCGCAGCCGACTCGCAGACTGCTACGCACAGACTGCTACGCACCCCTACGTTTGCGACCGACCGCACCGGGTCTAAACAGCGTAGGAACTTGACCGGCAAATCTGCCTACTACGATTCCGGCTCCCTGATCGCGTTTGGCGTCCCGGCTCTCGCGACCGCTAAGCAAGCAGCGGAAGCCATCACCCAAGTCGTCTCCGATGCCAGTGGAGGAAGCCTCCAGGCCTCCTTCCTCAGCGTCGAAGTACGCACTGAGAAGCCACGACCCAACCAGGCGGCCCCAACATACAACATCACCATCGGCGTCACCCCCCGTGTCCGTGGTATGCTTTTCCGACACAGCCAGGCCCTTAAGGCCATCGGCATCACCTTCCGGGATGACCTCACCCCGGCAGGTCGTCAGCTCAAGCAGGCTCGGAACGCGCAGTTCCTGCGGCTGCGTGACGAGGGCCGCAAACCCAAGTGGCTGGGCCCGTACATTGAGTACCAGCGCACCGACGGCATGTACTACATGGTCTCCAAGTACGACGTGTCCGACGTTCCGCCCCCCCCGCCCCAGCCCCCGGCCGGGAACGGGGCTGCGGCGGGCACAAGCGATGGACGCGTGACCACAGAGGGTGCTGGCGAGGGGAGCGCCGCCTAGAGTGCTATGAGTCGTGAGGCTAAAGACATCAGGGTCTTGCTTTGGAACGTGTGGGGTTTGTCGGTAGCTAAGCTCA